TCCCTGGTTCAACCCCGCGTTTCGCTAAAAGGACTTTCCTAAATTATCTGCCTTTTTTTTAATGATACTAAGATAATTACTAAGAAGATTACGATCTTATTGGCGCATGAGATTCCCAACCTCCGTGCTGCCCGGTTAGCTCAGTTGGTAGAGCATCAGACTTTTAATCTGAGGGCCATGGGTTCGAGTCCCATATCGGGCTCAAGAAAGGCTGCATTATCATTTTCGGGTGTTGTGGAAATTTACCAAGCTATTTGGAAACGACAACACACTTCGAAGTACGTTCTTAAGAGATATAGTACCTGCCGAAATAGCTCAGATGGGAGAGCGTCAGACTGAAGATCTGAATGTCAGTTGTTCAATCCTGGGTTTCGGCAAAAAGACTTTCCTAAATTATCTGACTTTTATTTTTAATGATACTAAGATAATTACTAAGAAGATTACGATCTTATTGGCGCATGAGATTCCCAACCTCCGTGCTGCCCGGTTAGTTCAGTTGGTAGAGCATCAGACCTTTAATCTGAGGACCATGGGTTCGAGTCGCATATCGGGCTCAAGAAAGACTGCATTATCATTTTCGTGGATTCTGAAAATTTAACAAGCTATTTGAAAAGGAGAACACGCTTCGAAGTACGTTCTTAGGAGTTATAGTACCTGCCGAAATAGCTCAGATGGGCGAGCGTCAGACTGAAGATCTGAAGGTCCCTTGTTTAATCCAGGGTTTCGGCAAAACGGCTTTTTTTCCTGAATTTTTTTAATGATACTATGATAATTGCTAAGAAGATTGCGTTCTTATTGACGCACGAGATTCCCAACCTCCGTGCTGCCCGGTTAGTTCAGTTGGTAGAGCATCAGACCTTTAATCTGAGGGCCATGGGTTCGAGTCCCATATCGGGCTCAAGAAAGACTGCATTATTATTTTCGTGGATTCTGAAAATTTAACAAGCTATTAGGACAGGAAAAACACACTTCGAAGTACGTTCTTAAGAGTTATAGTACCTGGCGAAAGAGCTCAGAAGGGAGAGCGTCAGACTGAAGATCTGAAGGTCCCTGGTTAAATCCCGTGTTTCGGCAAAAAGACTTTCCCAGACTATCTGGCTTTTTTTTAATGATACTAAGATAATTGCTAAGAAGATTGCGTTCTTACTGACGCATGAGAGTCCCAACCTCCGTGCTGCCCGGTTAGTTCAGTTGGTAGAGCATCAGACTTTTAATCTGAGGGCCATGGGTTCGAGTCCCATATCGGGCTCAAGAAAGACTGCATTATCATTTTCGTGGATTCCGAAAATTTAACAAGCTATTTGAAAAGGAGAACACGCTTCGAAGTACGTTCTTAGGAGTTATAGTACCTGCCGAAATAGCTCAGATGGGAGAGCGTCAGACTGAAGATCTGAAGGTCCCTTGTTCAATCCAGGGTTTCGGCAAAACGGCTTTTTTTCCTGAATTTTTTTAATGATACTAAGATAATTGCTAAGAAGATTGCGTTCTTATTGACGCATGAGATTCCCAACCTCCGTGCTGCCCGGTTAGTTCAGTTGGTAGAGCATCAGACTTTTAATCTGAGGGCCTTGGGTTCGAGTCCCATATCGGGCTCAAGAAAGACTGCATTATTATTTTCGTGGATTCTGAAAATTTAACAAGCTATTAGGAAAGGAAAAACACGCTTCGAAGTACGTTCTTACGAGTTATAGTACCTGCCGAAATAGCTCAGATGGGAGAGCGTCAGACTGAAGATCTGAAGGCCCCTGGTTCAATCGAATGTTTCGGTAAACCGGCTTTTTTCCTGACTTTTTTTTAAAGATACTAAGATAATTCCTAAGAAGTTTACGTTCTTATTGACGCATGAGATTCCCAACCTCCGTGCTGCCCGGTTAGCTCAGTTGGTAGAGCATCAGACTTTTAACGTGAGGGGCATGGTTTCCAGTCCCATATCGGGCTCAAGTAAGTCTGCATTATCATTTTCGGGGGTTGTGCAAATTTAGCAACCTATTTGGAATGGACAACACACTTCGAAGTACGTTCTTAAGAGATATAGTACCTGCCGAAATAGCTCAAATGAGAGAGCGTCAGACTGAAGATCTGAAGGTCCCTGGTTCAATCCCGGATTTCGGCAAAACGACTTTCCTAAATTACCTGAATTTTTTTTTTAATGATACGAAGATAATTACTGCGAAGATCACAATCTTATTGACGGATGATATTCCCAACCTTCGTGCTGCCCGGTTAGCTTAGTTGGTAGAGCATCAGACTTCCCATGTTGAGGGGCATGGTTTCGAGTCCCATATCGGGCTCAAGAAAGACGGCATTATCATTTTCGGGGGTTGTGCAAATGTAGCAAGCTATTTGGAAAGGACAACACACTTCGAAGTACGTTCTTCAGAAATATAGTACCTGCCGTAATAGGTCAGTTGGGAGAGCGTCAGACTGAAGATCTGAAGGTCCCTGGTTCAACCCCGCGTTACGCTAAAAGGACTTTCCTAAATTATCTGACTTTTTTTAATGATACTAAGATAATTACTAAGAAGATTACGATCTTATTGGCGCATGAGATTCCCAACCTCTCTGCTGCCCGGTTAGCTCAGTTGGTAGAGCATCAGACTTTTAATCTGAGGGCCATGGGTTCGAGTCCCATATCGGGCTCAAGAAAGGCTGCATTATCATTTTTGGGTGTTGTGCAAATTTACCAAGCTATTTGGAAAAGACAACACAATTCGAAGTACGTTCTTAAGAGATATAGTACCTGCCGAAATAGCTCAGATGGGAGAGCGTCAGAGTGAAGATCTGAATGTCCGTTGTTCAATCCCGGGTTTCGGCAAAAAGACTTTCCTAAATTATCTGACTTTTATTTTTAATGATACTAAAATAATTACTAAGAAGATTACGATCTTATTGCCGCATGAGATTTCCAACCTCCGTGCTGCCCGGTTAGCTCAGTTGGTAGAGCATAAGACTTTTAATCTGAGGGCCATGGGTTCGAGTCCCATATCGGGCTCAAGAAAGTCTGCAATATCATTTTCGGTGATTCTGCAAATTTAACAAGCTATTTGGAAAGGACAACACACTTCGAAGTACGTTCTCAAGAGTTATAGTACCTGCCGAAATAGCTCAGAAGGGAGAGCGTCAGACTGAAGATCTGAAGATCCCGGGTTTCAGCAAAAAGTCTTTCCCAGATTATCTGACTATTTTTTAATGATACTAAGATAATTGCTAAGAAGATTGCCATCTTATTGACGCACGAGATTCCCAACCTCCGTGCTGCCCGGTTAGTTCAGTTGGTAGAGCATCAGACCTTTAATCTGAGGGCCATGGGTTCGAGTCCCATATCGGGCTCAAGAAAGACTGCATTATCATTTTCGTGGATTCCGAAAATTTAACAAGCTATTTGAAAAGGAGAACACGCTTCGAAGTACGTTCTTAAGAGTTATAGTACCTGCCGAAATAGCTCAGAAGGGAGAGCGTCAGACTGAAGATCTGAAGGTCCCTGGTTCAATCCCGGGTTTCGGCAAAACGGCTTTTTTTCTGACTTTTTTTAATGATACTAAGATAATTGCTAAGAAGATTGCGTTCTTATTGACGCATGAGATTCCCAACCTCCGTGCTGCCCGGTTAGTTCAGTTGGTAGAGCATCAAACTTTTAATCTGAGGGCCATCGGTTCGAGTCCGATATCGGGCTCAAGAAAGACTGCATTATTATTTTCGTGGATTCTGAAAATTTAACAAGCTATTAGGACAGGAAAAACACACTTCGAAGTACGTTCTTAAGAGTTATAGTACCTGGCGAAAGAGCTCAGAAGGGAGAGCGTCAGACTGAAGATCTGAAGGTCCCTGGTTAAATCCCGTGTTTCGGCAAAAAGACTTTCCCAGACTATCTGGCTTTTTTTTAATGATACTAAGATAATTGCTAAGAAGATTGCGTTCTTACTGACGCATGAGAGTCCCAACCTCCGTGCTGCCCGGTTAGTTCAGTTGGTAGAGCATCAGACTTTTAATCTGAGGGCCATGGGTTCGAGTCCCATATCGGGCTCAAGAAAGACTGCATTATTATTTTCGTGGATTCTGAAAATTTAACAAGCTATTAGGACAGGAAAAACACACTTCGAAGTACGTTCTTAAGAGTTATAGTACCTGGCGAAAGAGCTCAGAAGGGAGAGCGTCAGACTGAAGATCTGAAGGTCCCTGGTTAAATCCCGTGTTTCGGCAAAAAGACTTTCCCAGACTATCTGGCTTTTTTTTAATGATACTAAGATAATTGCTAAGAAGATTGCGTTCTTACTGACGCATGAGAGTCCCAACCTCCGTGCTGCCCGGTTAGTTCAGTTGGTAGAGCATCAGACTTTTAATCTGAGGGCCATGGGTTCGAGTCCCATATCGGGCTCAAGAAAGACTGCATTATTATTTTCGTGGATTCTGAAAATTTAACAAGCTATTAGGAAAGGAAAAACACGCTTCGAAGTACGTTCTTAAGAGTTATAGTACCTGCCGAAATAGCTCAGATGGGAGAGCGTCAGACTGAAGATCTGAAGGTTCCTGGTTCAATCCAATGTTTCGGCAAAACGGCTTTTTTTCCAGACTTTTTTTTAATGATACTAAGATAATTACTAAGAAGTTTACGTTCTTATTGACGAATGAGATTCCCAACCTCCGTGCGTCCCGGTTAGCTCAGTTGGTAGAGCATCAGACTTTTAATCTGAGGGCCATGGGTTCGAGTCCCATATCGCGCTCAAGAAAGTCTGCTTTATGATTTTCGGGGATTCTGCAAATTTAAGAAGCGATTTGGAAAAGGAAAACACACTTCGAAGTACGTTCTTAAGAGTTATAGTACCTGCCGAAATAGCTCAGAAGGGAGAGCGTCATACTGAAGATCTGAAGGTCCCTGGTTCAATCCCGGGTTTCGGCAAAACGTCTTTCCTAAATTACGTGAATTTTTTTTTAATGATACGAAGATAATTACTGAGAAGATCACGATCTTATTGACGGATGAGATTCCCATCCTTCGTGCTGCCCGGTTAGCTCAGTCGGTAGAGCATCAGGCTTTTAATGTGAGGGGCATGGTTTCCAGTCCCATATCGGGCTCAAGAAAGACTGCATTATCATTTTCGGGGGTTGTGCAAATTTAGCAACCTATTTGGAATGGACAACACACTTCGAAGTTCGTTCTTAAGAGATATAGTACCTGCCGAAATAGCTCAGATGAGAGAGCGTCAGACTGAAGATCTGAAGGTCCCTGGTTCAATCCCGGATTTCGGCAAAACGACTTTCCTAAATTACCGGAATTTTTTTTAATGATACGAAGATGATTACTGCGAAGATCACAATCTTATTGACGGATGAGATTCCCAACCTCCGTGCTGCCCGGTTAGCTTAGTTGGTAGAGAATCAAACTTCCAATGTGAGGGGCATGGTTTCGAGTCCCATATTGTGCTCAAGAAAGACCCCATTATCATTTTCGGGGGTTGTGCAAATTTAGCAAGCTATGTGGAAAGGACAACACACTTCGAAGTACAGTCTTAAGAGATATAGTACCTGCCAAAATAGCTCAGATGGGAGAGCGTCAGACTGAAGATCTGAAGGTCCCTGGTTCAATCCCGTGTTTCGGCAAAACGACTTTCCTACATTATCTGCCTTTCTTTAATGATGCTAAGGTAATTACTAATAAGATTACGATCTTATTGACGCATGAGATTCCCAACCTCCGTGCGGCCGGGTTAGCTATGTTGGTAGAATCAGACTTTTAATATGAGGGCCATGGGTTCGAGTCCCATATCGGGCTCAAGAAAGACGGCATTATCATTTTCGGGAGTTGTGCAAATTTAGCAAGCTATTTGGGATCGACAACACACTTCGAAGTACGTTCTTAAGTAATATAGTACCTGCCGTAATAGCTCAGTTGGGAAAGCGTCAGACTGAAGATCTGAAGGTCGCTGGTTCAATCCCGGGTTTCGGCAAAAAGACTTTCCTAAATTATCTGACTTTTTTTTTAATGATACTAAGATCCCAACGTGAATCCCAACCTCCGTGCGGCCCGGTTAGCTCAGTTGGTAGAGCATCAGACTTTTAATCTGAGGGCCATGTGTTCGAGTCCCATATCGGGCTCAAGAAAGACTGCATTATCATTTTCGGGGGTTGTGGAAATTTAGCAAGCTATTTGGAAACGACAACACACTTCGAAGTACGTTCTTAAGAGATATAGAACCTGCCTTAACTTTACTCTCTTCTGTTTTGATCACTTTTGCTACTATTTAAAAACTAACAGACGAGTACACGTCCGCGTATTTCTAATAGGCAATTAATATTTTCGCTTAGAGACAAAGTGCATTTCTCTTTAGTCGGCCACAATACAAGAAATTGCCTATTAGAATACTGTCTTTAGACTCCTTCAGCTTACTCTCCAATCATACCTGGGTATGTCTTTTCCAATGCAATCATCTCCAATATATATGCCGACCCATATCTGGCATAATTGACACTATCGCAAATGAAAAACCATGGAATCATAGCCCTGAAAGCCATCAAGTGAAGATCCCAGTTTACTTGTCTGGTTGCCCGAATAAACATCAGTAACACACCTTATAAGAAAACAAAATTTACTTACTTAATAATAATATACATAGATGAAAACATTTCTCAATTCTGATTGGCTAAGATCAGTGCAATTTTTTCGAAATACAGTGCCAAAAAATGAAATACAGTGCAAAAAAATAAATACAGTCATTTCATTGACTATTTAGGCTTTCTGATTGTCTTAAAATATTAAAAATAACAAAGATAGCCAATAAGATACAACAATTTCCAGCACAAATAATACAAAAACAAACATTTAGGATTTAGGAGAAACAGCATAATTTTTTCATGTATATATTATTAATAAGTAATACACTCGTGAGTTTTTAAAAGACTTCAAATTGCACTCATCCTTCGGACTTTTGACAGTCTTTGAAAAACTCACTTGTGCATGTTTTTTCCAAATTGCCCTCAAATTAACCCATACTATTACCTAGACACGTATATGGAACCACAGCAAATAAAACAGCAATAATATGTGCACTAATGGAGCTCTAAAACAAATTAATAAATATATATAGAGTTTTTCAGCATAATTACCTGCCATTTCAATATACATGGTCCAAAAGGCAAATGTCCTTGATTTACTGGATGACTCTGCTATAAATAATTCATAGGATTCCAATATCTGTTGCATCAAAGGACTTTCTATATCATCACTCAGGAACTTATCTTCCGGAAACGAGCCTGCCATGCTCTCAATGAATGAAGTCATAACTTCTTGGTCTTCTTCGGTCATTTGATCCATAAATGCTTGGAATCTTAGGCGTTGCAGTGCTTCATACATTATCTTATGACACGACACTGACCTGTTGTAATGTTTACCAGAAAGGACGCCTTGGATTGATCCTTCGTTCACAATACCAGATTCTATAAATACAACCTACATACAAAAAGAAAAAAATCATGTTTTAGTTGATAAACATATACAGAATGTATGTGGAATGAAACTGTTACTGTTCAGTTTCACTGTTTCTTAATTAGCACCGCCACAAATTTATTATTTGTTAATAATTCCTGTTTCCCTAACAAGCCTGGGTATGAGATTTGTTCACAGTCAAGTTAACTTAGGGTAGATAATTAAGTGTTAAATTAATTACCTTTAGGCCTCCATCTTCAAATATCTTTGACATAGCCGACAGATAGGTCATGATAGTGTGGAATTCACCAAAGCGTACAACAAATCGATTAAAGAATGTCTCTTCCTTCCAGCGAACCTGTTGAACTTTAGCATATACAGCTTCGTCAAAAACCAACACCGCATATTTCAGTTCCAACTTATCAGCGATTTCTTTGCTCCTTGTAAGGATTGTGTTGATAGTGGAATATTCTGTTGGTGATGCATCAATAACCGGCAAATAGCCAACCCTGGATACATGTGGTAGTTCTTTACTAAAGAGTATGGTATTAAACCCTGTCCATCCTGCTAATACTCCTTCATTTGCAGCACATATATATATTTGATTAAGATATAGGCTAAATCAAGTTTAGAAGCTGTCTGTTTTGAGTCATCTACTAAAGTAAGTTCCAAACATTCAGGATCCAGTTCAATACTTTGAAATGTAGTTGTTTTCTTTACTCCAATACTGTAAGGCACAATATCAGTTGTAGGCATTTCTACTGCCCGCTGTGTCTTCTTTATTAGGGTTGTCTGGTTTGATGAACTTATCTGTTTTTGATCACAGACTTTTTGGGTAATGATCCCGTTGGTAACATGAGTCTGTTTAGCAATTTCTTCTCCAAAATCAATGTTGCATAAACCAGATTGACATACTCCTTTGCAACAAATTCCCTTGGAATAATGTTTGATGTGTTGATAGTTTCCTGTGCAATAGCTGAATCATATGCCATTGTCGAAGATAATGAGACACAATGTCCAAAACCACTCAAAATCTTAATCAGGCCCGAACAACCAGGCATCTGCCGAACAGTCATTGCCAGTACTAGGGACTTGCGTGTCTGTACTTTCCCCTTATTAGAAATATAGACCAAATCTTGACACAGAGAAAAAATCTTTGTTGTAGTTTGCTCATCTAATTCAATGTAATCAGCATTTTCTGGGTCATCTGAAAACCCAAGCATCCATGCCAAAAAATTAAACAAGAGAGGTGATACTAACTTTCTAACGTTTTCACCAGTAATATCTGATGCATGTGGTGGCCAGTTCTTGTACCAAGCTGATGTACAATCATGCAAGTTGTTTCTCAATGTTAGGCCAACTGTATATATTTCTTTCAATGTTGCACTTGTGTACGTGAATGCTTCCGTTCCAATGTCATCATCAGATTCAGACTCTTGTGAACCCTGAGACGTTTCTATGTCATCATCCATAAAACTTTCTGCTACACTTGCTTGGCTGAGGCACTCTGCATAAACAATTTCACTCTTGTTCCGTACCTGTGGTCTATGGAAAACAAGTTGTGGAAACTTTTTACCCAATCTTTGCTTTAATCGAAATGTTCTATAACTTGAGGCATCAGTGTTTTCAACACGTTTCACTGTCTTGACAAACTCTCTTTTCAACTTTTTCATGTAAAATATATTCTCCTGCTTAATTAGTTTTTCTTTAACAAACTCTTCACAGAAGACATTGAATGATTCTTCATACTTGCATTCATGCATTTCACCTTCATTGTCATTTGATTGAGTACTGGGGCTGTGCCTAAGAAATGATGTGTACTTTTCATAACAACTATGGTATTTCACTTCTAATGCTACTAGGTCCTTATCAGCAATTTGAATCAAAATACTTTCATCAGCTTTCTTTGTTGCAGCTTCTTTCAGTTTACCACCATCTACTGTTTCTGCAGATACCATTTTGTCCAGCTTTCGCTTTTTCGACTTCTAAATAATAGAAAACCCATGTATAGAAATCACACAATTACCGTTTATATAACGGCGGCTAAAGGTAATGCAATCAATATATAATAATGCAACACATATTAGAAAAATAACAATATAAATTGTAAAAAAATAAATCAATAAACTTACCGATTCAGTGAAATACGACTTTTCTGATTTGCAAATTATACAAACGCATGGCAACACGTGGGGATTCCGTGATTTAGCCGCCGCACCCGTACGCGAACTCAGTGTAGATCTCAGCATTCTTTTTACAGGTGGAGTTTCATCTGATTCCGTTTCTTCATCGGTAATATCAATACCAGAGGATGAAGGCACACCTTCTTTGTCCATATTCTGACAACGCACTTGAGCTCGTTTGATCATACGGCTATTTGTGAATGCCGAGTAACAACCTCGATGGTAAGAGAAATTTGCGTATTCGATACTTTCAATCGTGCTACTTTCCATGCTGTCGCTAACAAATTGCAAACTTCTTTGAGCAACATTGCGTTCTTCCCCGTCTAGCGTTAGCCAAATTCTACGACAATCTAAAATTTTTTGATACGAAACCGCACTAAAACTTGTAAGTGGGCCTTTTTTCCCATCAAAATGAATTAAACATGAGTCAGAAGACGCCATGTTTACAAATGGCTAAGCTGGAAACTTCATGTAAGAACGAGCGTGAGCCCGCGAAAATCGCCAGTTATAGTGTTTATTACACCAAGTATCCTGAACAAAAATGGCGGCGATCGATTGCGAACAGTGAACTCTATATATATATATATATATATATATATATATATATATATATATATATATATATATATATATATATATATATATATATATATATATATATATATATATATATATATATCGGGAATGATAACATTCAGTTTGATTGTGAAAACAATGAAGCCTCGATACCAGTCTCTCACGCGGATTGGACTTCAGTCTTAGTCCCTCAAACGTCAGTTTTACGCGAATTGGACGTCAGTTTCATTCCCCCTCTTGCAAACCGTTGCACGGCCAGTATAAATTTGAACGCAATCACGAAAAAAATTTAAAACATGGCCAACTCAATGCAATACATTTTAGGAGCAAACTGTTTTGCTACTAAAATTTACTGCATTGAGTTCGCTGTCGGAATAAAGTCGAGGAAAACTTCCCCGTGTGGAGAAAAGAATCACTTTTTCAAATATATTGTGTAGTACTGTCGTTCTGGATGCACAAGGAAAGAGATATTCTTGTGAGAAAATTTCATTTCACAGGTAGGTAAATTGACTTCAACTGTGACTTTGCCGTTGCCATTTTTCGCGATTGTTTGAATTGTTTTTTAGTTTACCAGTTTTATAGTTTTTAGTCAATACACTGGTACGTTATTTTTTAAAGAATTTATTGTGTGATCGGAATTTGCCTGCCAGCAAAATGTAAATGAATATGTACATGTGTTTGAATATAAATTATACCATATGGGCTTAATAAAAAATTATTTTAATAACTACGTTTCGGAGTATAACTCCATCTTCAGGTTAAAAGTGAATAAAGACATAAGAACTGTGATAAAAACTTTCAAAACAAATACAAATTTTATATGTAAGTGATTTTTAATACTGTAAGAAAGTTCTTGAACAGTTGATGACGAAGACAATGACGAATACTTATGTCGTGATTTTTTTGTCGGCTTCACTTTTCGCTCTCTGTTATCATTCCAGAGATATATATATATATATATATATATATATATATATATATATATATATATATATATATATATATATATATATATATATATATATATATATATATGTATATATATATATAGTTCACTGATTGCGAAAGATGTCGATTTATTGAATTTTCGAAGAAGAAATACTCGAAAACGGCTGCAGGTTTTGGGAAGTGCAAACAAGCGGATTTGGACTTTGTATAATTTATCCTAATTATTTATCTTGTTTCAAAGTAGTGCCCGAACCCGGGCAACGGAACTGAACGATATCGTGCCACAGAATACGGCCTATGACATTATAATCATTATTTTCAAAAGAGATCGTATAAGGGAGTGTTAAAGGACGTCTTCGCTCTGTTCCAAAACAGAAAGCAACAGATTTTTATGTCTTGGTACAAGAGAGTACTCTCTTATTAACCCTATTACTAACCTCCCGCTCAAACTATGTTAAATTCACGCGACTGATAAAATACAAGATTTCTTTAGAATACATATATTTGAAGGAGTTTTGGCCATCGTCGTCCCATTGCCGTCCTACGTAGCGTCATGGGCGTACGGGCCTAATCTTGCTTGGGGGGGGGGGGAACAGTATTAGTTTGACTGACCGCTTTGCTTACACAGTACACATATTACAACTTAGTGTTCGAGATTTTATCAGGGCCTTTTTTAAGGATTTTCCCGTGGTGGGGGAGGCATTTTTTGAAAAGGGACCTTTCTGTGAGATAATATATTAGTAGGGGATAGCCATGTGGCCGACATACCACGCATGAATCCCTAGGGGAGTCTAGGGGCATACTCCCCCAGAAAGTTTTGAAATTTGAAGCCCGAAAATGCAATTTCCTGCATTCTGAGCATTCATATTTGCTCTAAAAATTAAATTATATTGTATTTGAAATAAAAGAAGGAAAAACGCACAAAAAAGTAAATCAATTATTAACAATAATTTATTATTACTTGGTGGTAAAAAATGTAACAATTTAAATCGATTTTGTTAAACAAGGACAAAGGATAAAGCCTAAAACTTACTTTACTTTCTGTTTATCTATTTGTTATTCCTCGCTGGTTTGTTTGTATAAATTTAGGAAAAAAAGACTTTTCCTAGGGGAGGGGGGGGGGGTGGCAAAATGTGATTTCGTGGGGGACACAAAGAAGGAGTCGAGTTGTATGTTAAGAAAGGCCCTGGATTTTGTATCTGCTTTTATAAACAATTGAGTATGATTGTATAAAGGCTGCTTTAGCAGAAGTTTAACTGAAATGTCTAGACAAAATTAAAACTACGACAAACTCTAAGAACAATGCTCAATGTTTCTGCAATCCATGGGCCCCAGTTTGTTGGGCAACCAAAGCCAGTCGGGCAATATCCGCTTCATAGTCGGGCAATATTGGCTTATTATAAAAATTAATGGGACAAATTCTGTCAATTTTGTGGGAAATTCTGTCCATTTTGTGGAAAATATGCTATGTAATAGGAATCTTTAGTAATCACCCCTCCCGCCCGTCGACAACAATTAGTGGAAAGTTTACCCGGAAAGTTTTTTTTGACAACTCGGGCACAATCCAAAAAAGTCGGGCAAATTTGTTTCCGCCCCCATAATTTTTTTCCTTCCCGTACGCCCATGCTGCAATCTTCATCAGAAATCATTGCCATAAGCCATCATCATTCATATACAGGTGTTCTTCATATATGGCAAAGTATATTAAAATCAATTTATATTGGCGTTATTAGATTAAATTATTCATTGTAGACCGCGGTTCTTCTTATCAACTTTGATGAGAGTATATGTTTTTCCCGAATGACACATGGATTTCTGTTCAATTATCCGATCGTTCGTGGGGGCATGTGCCCCCCCCGTGCCGTCCCCCCCCCCACCCCCACCCCCGGCCGATACGCCTATGCGTTGCGTACACATGTTATTGCTCACCAATATTTTTCGCAACTTGAAGTAATGCAGTGACACCAGAACCATTATCATCAATTCCAGTAGTACTATTGGTGGTATCATAATGTGCGCCCACTATCACTATCTGATCATCAGCCGTTCCTGTTCTGTTTGAGGATATCATACCCACTATATTCTCAGCAAATAAATTCTATAGTGAAAATAAATATAAATATTTTATCTTACGTTCCCAAGTTTGTCCGGATCCATTCGTTCATACACAGAAAGACTAACTAACAAACAGCCAAACTTACGCCTCCAATCTTTGCCCGCTCCGTCCAGACATGTAAGCCATATTTCTTGAATGTTTCTATAATGTAGTCACGTGCTTCTTGTTTCCCTTCAGGCCTGCTCTCGTGATTGCGTGCTCCTTTAAATTTCTTCAATATGGACAGCAAGGACGAGGTAGAGTCACTTTGTATGTCAGGTAGTGTGTCACACAACACAAGTCGTGCGCCTTTATAGGTAAATTAAATATTCAAAAAGAATCAGTCTGAGAACTATACAAGCCGCTCGATTGTCGATAATGATTTATTAGCGAAATACAGCAAAAGACAGTAGTTTGGAAAATGTATAATATACGCACTCTGGTTAACTTCAGAGGCAAATTCTTCCTAAAATACTGACAGTTTCGGAAGTTATAACATACTGTACGCTCGAAATGCATGCATTTGATTTCCAAGCACATCAAAATTGGGAATCGTGCTTCGTTTTTAAACAAAATTATCCGTTCTGGGAAATTAGAAAATAAACCGTTTCCATGCAGTGTATTATGTATTATATATAAAACCGACTTTTATGCTGTGCTTCCGTGAATTATGCCCAGTACTACAGAAACGCTTGTGTATGCGCTTCCGTTAGATCGATCAATTGAAGCATACGACCACCAATCAACGCCGTATTGAACTGCCTCGTTCTAAATCAGAACAACTTTCCAAATTTACCCACACCCGCTTACTGGACCTTTAATTTAATTAGGGAGAAGAGTTTAGAATTGACAATGTACAAGCTACAGTTTCCCATAGCTCCTATTTTATAATAAATGGCTGAAGTATACAGTATTTTAATTTGTTTTTAATTTTCTTTGTCCAGACAAAGGGCGGCACAAAATTTCAATTGTGCAGACAGAATGTCTGTAGACTGTACTCCCCCCACAAGCTTGCAATAATATAGTTAATTATACAGGGTGTCTCAAAAAAACCCAAAATCATTGAAATAACGTATTGTTCGAATTTCAATGCCGTAACACAAAGGATTTTGACAGGGTGATTAATTTGTTTTAAAAAATTAAAATATCTTTGTAAAGTGAACGTTTGTTTGCTCATGGGAATTTAAAAATGCTTCGTAAATTGTAATATGCGTAATATGCATTCGTGGGTTTAGTACTTTATGCCTGACATAACAAGTTTACGCTGAGTATTACCATTCATTATAGCAGTTATGTCAATCTTTTATGCACTCGTGGGATTAACTTAGTGCTAGGGCATTGAATATCGAACAATACGTCAATTTCAATGATTTTGGGGTTTTTTGAGACACCCTGTACATACACTGTATTGGAATTCTTCACAGAAATTAGTATATCGTGTTCTATTTATGTCTGCAAGCCATGCGAGACACCCAAAATATGCGAGTAACACATGAATATAATGAATACACTGCATGAAGGTAACTTTTTCACATTTAAATTCCTATATTCAGGTAAAATTCTTTGGAGCTTATGCCGATGCAGTGGTTCTGCATGGTCTCATAAGGAAGATTGTTCCAAAGTACGGCACCATTGTATAGGCGCAGCACCTTTTGCCAAATTCTTTCTTCGGCTTAGGAAGTGCTAAATCAGTTTCTGTATTTCTCAGGTAGTATGTGTTACCTGTTTCATTACTTAGTCGAAAAGACTCTTTTAGGTTGGGTGCGGTGTGGCCGTTAAGAATTTTATACTGTGCTCGAATCATATAGATATCTTATATACACTAGATAGGGCATCTAATTATTCTGCAATTCAAAAATTGAAGCCGTGATTGCAGACTCAGGATATTCCCATGACATGAGAAGATTCGTTTGTTTTCTATTTCTTAAACAGGGAATTTAAACATTAAGTTAAACCTATTCCAAATACATTTTTAAACTATTGAAATGGTGAAAGTTATTGTTGTTTTTTAAGCGTTTATATTAGCGAGTGGGAACTACCAACATGGCCGCCATCTATTCAAATGGGGTAACCGCTGGAATATTCTTGGCTTCAATTTTACTAAAAGAGATGCGCTATCTAGTGTATATAAGATATCTATGGCTCGAATTCAACCAGTTTTACAACAAATAATATATATTGAATACTCATGCAAATACCATTGTGATACGTTTACATGCATGCACTGTGTGATATTAATATGACAACCATTTTATATTTTATACTTACTCAACGCCAAATATACGAGAAAGAACATAACACAGATGGCAAACCGAATGAACATCATCAATTACATGCGAAGATAAATACGTTTACTTTACGTCGAACAGCCAGACTTGGAATAAACACTGTTTGATCAAACTGTCGTTCAAGCGTAACAGGTTTCACAATGGTCTGTCAAGATATATAATGGGTCTGCATGAAGCCCGGCAAACTTCAAAGCCACAATATGAAGGGTGTCCCAAAAAAACCAAACTATTCAGTGAAATAACGTGTTATTAGAATTTGAATGCCTCAGCACTCTGCTGACAAGTGCATAAAAGCTTTGCATAAGTAAATTTTATGAAACTGTTTAAGAAGCTGCTTTAAATTCCCAAGAGCGCTGAAAATCGTGCGCTTTACAAATATATTTTAATTTGTTAATAAGTCAATATTTATAAAATGTGCACCCCAGCTGTCAATATTTTACGCATATTTGCGTTCAGCTTAGCTAAGGCATTCAATTTCTAACAATACGTTATTTCAATAGTTTGGTTTTTTTGGGACACCCTGTAGAAGACCTTTGTTTGATGTTGAACTGTACCTCGCCATTTAATTTATATTAATATTATTCCTCGTGGTTGCACTTTCATCTCAGCTATCCCTATTAGAAGATTACTCATTATACGAAGACACAATGAGCTCAATCACCGTGACTGTGCACAAATTAACATAAACTCAGACAAAAACATCGCACAATGAAGCTTCTGTTACACGATGCAACGATTTGTGAAACCTGTCTCGCAACGGCGTTGCGAGACATGTTCGTGACACATTGCAACGTGTAACACCCTTCCATGTCCCGAACCTGTGTCAGTTTCCGTTGCGAGACAAGTTTCGCGAAAAGATTCAACTTTTCGCAACGATTGCAGGCTCCTTTCGCTGGCATTGCACCGTGTAACAACATTCGTTAAACCTGTCTCGCAATGTTTTGAAACACCTAGCCTGCGAACAGGCGTTTATAGAAACAGATTGAAGAAGCAACCAATCAGATCGAGGAACAATACCCATGCAAGGTCATCAAATTCAATCCTCATGCAAGGTCATTCGTGCTAGATGGAATTTTCAAATTGTTTGCACCAATGATTTGATATGAGTGGATTGACTTGTTTCGATGACAATACGTGACAAGGCTGTGCGACTAATACGAAAACTGTACTCAAGAGATTTAAATGTTTCACCAGTTGCTAAATATCGTAAGGTCACTGCAGCCATTTTTTCGTTCGGGCCAATACTCTCCCACATAATTGTATTTTGTCCACAACAAAGCAGAAATGTTGTGACACTCTTTTGTCAACGAGACTCTCTTTTACAAGATGATGATAACACCCAAATTCTTTCCTTCTTTTTATCTATGGTCTTATCCAATTATCCCTCTTCCTTCTTTTTGGCGAATTCTGAGTCTATTAAGTCAAGCAGTATCAAAAGCATACCTAATTTTAAGAATTTTTTATCACTGCACACTGCAATTTTTTATCACTGCAAAGTTTAGCCGAGCAGAAACACGCCCTGAAAATTCCTGAACACCCCCTAATAACAGGGTTCGTAGCGGTCTTTGAAATCCTTGAAAATCTTTAAATTGGAATGCAGATCTTTGAGGTCTTTGAAAAGTCATTAAATTGTGTGAAAAAGCGAAGAAAGTCTTTAAATTCTTTAGTGAGGAATTGATTATATGATTTCCTAGCTAATAAAATTGATTGATTGAATCAAGATTTTCGCAAATATCGACGAAAATGCGCATTTTAGGATGTGATTTGATGGGACTATAATTACTGGGTACAAATGGTGCTTACACTCGCAATTTTTCGACAGCTTATTGCTCTCAAAGGTCTTTGAAAAGTCTTTGAAAATAGGCAGAAAAAATATTCGAAAGTCTTTGAATTTTTTTGGTCTTGGAGACTACGAACCCTGTATAATAATGTGTAACAACAAAGCAAGCTACAATTCATATTCAAAAATGACAAAACGAACATACACTGCACAGCAATCAGGGGAATTTGGGGGCCCAGGACAAACTTTGACTTCGGGGCTCTCGCAATTCCATGTTCTAACACTACGATTAGGGGGTCCCCCGGAAAATTTTTGAAATCAGAGGTCCCAGAAATGGTCAAATCCTGCATTCTGAAAGTCTAGTTGACAGTTATATCTATGCGGAATATTTCACTGCAATTCTTTATTTAGGCCCCCTTTAACTAGGGTCCCAGGGCAAATTGCACCCCTCTGGGCGGCCTTGACAGCACCTGCAGTTACGACTATCTATGACAGCCTAGTTTCATAATAACATGGCTGAAGAAAATAAATATTTTCCTCTTGGCAAATGAAAGGCGGCTTACGGGCTTTGGCATGACAAATCTCTAGAGGAGTTCCAGGGACATGCACCTACAGACAATTTTGTAAGCTAGCACTATAAAAGGGCATCTCCTGCAATGCGCGGGGACATTCTACAGAATTCTGAAAATTATACAGTAATTACAAAATCTTAAGTATCATTCACTCCATCTTCCAAACCCATAAAGAGATCTTTGGTGAGAGACTTTGTTCATCTGATGAACCATAAGTATGTTATTAGTGCGGACGTTCGATAATTTGACAGTCATCATTTCAATTTCAATTAAATCATTCTCATTCAAAATGTTTCGCCGGACTAGTTCAGTTTTTCTGCTCATTGACATTGTCTCATTTTCTTGTGTTAATTAACAACTTATCAAAGCAAATTTTATCACTGCACATTTTACAATTTATCACTGCACATTTTACTTTTATCACTGCACAAATTGGTTATCACTGCACACTAAAATTAGGTATGGATTGACTACATCCTGCTGAATGAAATTTACTCTATATGAACTTGAGGTGAAAAACCCACCTGCATAAAACAGGACGGTGAATATAAGATCACACATCGATCCCTAACTGTAGAGTTCCAAATATAATGTCATTCAATTCAAGCTTATATAACTCCTGGGCAAACCTCGGAACAAATAAATGAAAACTTGATTATTGTTAATAAATTAATTGGGATATTGGAACAATAAGCGTGCCTTTTAGCCTTGCAGCTGCACATATGCCAAATCGTAGGTATAACTAAAATTATTATATACACAAGGTCTGGATATGAGGTATTCTGCAATCTGATTGGTTCTCTACTAGCAGGATATCAGCTCATATCCTGCTAGTAGCTAGAGAAAACAAAATGGCGGCTCAAACTGAATTTCCGATGTTTTGCAAACGAAAAAACGGCAAGTTGTTCGCTTTTTATAGCTTTTACAGGATTAAAAACACGATGAAAAAACTCCCACAAATTGTTTACACGTTAGCAAATTAATTTTTAAAATTTAAAATATTAAAAATATATATTTTTTAAAAACTAATCGGCCGAAAGAGCGAAGGTAAAAACAAAAACAAAATAGAAAAATATTGAAAATATTCGAAAAGCAAAGTCTGTGAATTCAGACCTTGTGTATATAATAAACTCACTCTCGTCGAATATGAGCGATAGCCGATGCGGCGCTACGCGCCTCATCGGCTATCAGCTCATTTTCGACTCGAGTTCGTAGACTAATTGTTAAATACTGGCGTCCGCCGCGAACACTAACTGATGATGATGATGATAAACTTTATTTAAAAATCACACGCTAGCCTCGTCAACTTTCGCTGATTTCCACGAGGGGCGTGTCAATTACATTATAAATAGTAACAAACATTAAAAATGAACATATTTACAATAGTCAACCTAATATTATACCATAATAATTATATTTACGTACATTATATTATGAGAAATTGTGAGCATTAATTCGACTTTTAAATATTGGCAAGGTAGCCGAATCACGCAAATCTTCAGGTAAGGAATTCCACAATTTCGCCCCATCGTAAGAAAAGCTTTTCTTAATATTTTCAGTCCTGGGAAAAGGGATTTGCAGTGATGTAGAGGAACCCCTAAGCTCGTAATCTGTGACATCACTTTTACGCATAAAAAGATTAACAAGTGCATTTGGGGACAAATCATTTAAAACTTTGTACATTTGTACTGCTTTAGACTTAGCTCGTTGAGACTCAATAGTTTCCCACCCTAAGGCAGCAATTGCTTCTAATCCCGGGCCGGGGTATCATTTGTCGTACTCATTACTATTCTCGCCGCTCTATTCTGCAGTTTTTGAAGTCGAGTTGAAAGGCCAATGCCCAAGGTATCCCATACCTCACTGCAATAATCGAAATGAGGGCGAACTAAAGCATTGTAGATAGAGATCAAGGTTTCCCTATCGACAAAGTCACGTATTCTTCTTAAAGCTCCTACACTGGAAGTAACCTTCTTGGCCACGCTTTCAACATGCTTGTTCCAAGACAATTTTTCATCAATTTGAACCCCAAGTAGTCTACTATGATGAACTTGCTTAATTTTGTCTTGATCTATTTTTATATTTGGTTGATTAGTAAGGTTCGTTAATCTATGATTTGAACCAATAAGTATAAATTCGGTTTTTGAAGCATTGAGACTCAGTTTATTGGCTAAAAGCCAGGTATGTACACTAAGGAGATCATTATTCATGGCCAACTCAACTTCCTCTATTGACTCACCAGCTACCGTAAGATTGGTGTCATCGGCAAATAGCCGAGGGGCAGCTTCAGGAAGACATTCTGGAAGATCATTTATATATAAGAGGAAGAGAAGTGGACCAAGGATGGATCCCTGCGGAATACCGCATGTCACATGCCGCTCAGATGACATTACGTCTCCTAGTTGGCATTTCTGTTTGCGATCAGACAAGTATGATTGTATCATGGTTAAGGCACTGCCATTGATACCGTATAGCTCAAGTTTTCGCACCAAAATATCATGGTTTACAGTATCAAAGGCCTTTTTTAAATCCAATAATACAACCAAGTTAAACATTTTGCGGTCCATATTAACGTGCCAACTGTTCGTGCAATCCAAAAGAGCCGAAGCAGTTGAATGAGATTTGCGGAAACCAAATTGGTGTTCAGAAAGGATCGAATTGACGTTAAGGTATTCATTACGGTGGCCCACAGGTGTCAGTACACACACAAAATCGAATACCGAAACCAAAGTCAAAAACGTAATTCTAAACTTAAAACACTAGTCCAAATTATCAACTCACAATTCAAAATTATCAACTCACAATTCAAAATTGTCAACTCACAATTCAAAATTATCAACTCACAATTCAAAATTATCAACTCACAATTCAAAATTGTCAACTCACAATTCAAAATTGTCAACTCACAATTCAAAATTGTCAACTCACAATTCAAAATTGTCAACTCACAATTCAAAATTCTCAACTCACAATTCAAAATTCTCAACTCACAATTCAAAATTCTCAACTCACAATTCAAAATTCTCAACTCACAATTCAAAATTGTCAACTCACAATTCAAAATTGTCAACTCACAATTCAAAATTGTCAACTCACAATTCAAAATTGTCAACTCACAATTCAAAATTGTCAACTCACAATTCAAAATTGTCAACTCACAATTCAAAATTGTCAACTCACAAATTCAAAATTGTCAACTCACAATTCAAAATTGTCAACTCACAATTCAAAATTATCAACTCACAATTCAAAATTATCAACTCACAATTCAAAATTGTCAACTCACAATTCAAAATTGTCAACTCATCAACATGCCGGGACACAATAATAGGCAGACATGAAGTATTTTTGCCGTGTGTTTTGATGTTATGCACTCAGGTGAATATAATGTAATATAATACTAAAATCATGATCATAGAACACATTGGTCATTGGTATCGAAGGTACTAGACGTAGTTCCGAAATACCACACACTCGAACTGTTGGCCTCGTAGCTCAGTTGGCAGATCATTGGACCACAGAATAGAATATATTTTATTTTCTATTCTGTGATTGGACTAGTATCCCAAAGGTCGCGGTTCGATTCCCACCGTGGTCAGCTAACTTTTCAGCCTGCCCGGTGTGGATATATTATACACTCAGAGTAACATAAAAAAAAAACAAGACATGAAGGACATGAAGTAGTTAAGGTTACTTCACATGATGGAAACCCATTTCACCAAAATGCTCACCGCCTCAATTTTCAAGTTTTGCCCTTCAAATTTTGCATACATAATGATAAATCATTGCTGTAGCTAACGATTTACCAAAAATTCTACATCTTTAAAAACTGTACTTGCTACGGGTTGCTTTTGAAAATATGACGGCCTTTGCGCCACGAGATCAGAACGCTTCTGATTTAACTCAAAGGCTTCCGAAACATAATATTTCCATATTTCCCATCTCAAATGATCAAAGAACAAAACCGTGTTCGCATTTTTTGACAGGTATTGTATTTGCTTTGATATAAAGCAGACAAGTTGACTCATCTAAATTTTGGGAGAACGGCAGAACAGATGCCTATGACTTGAAAAGTATGGCACTAAATAAAAAAACGCAAACACGGTTTTGCTCCTGTGCTATTGTTCAACATTGTGGCAAAGTTTGGAGGGAATCAGATAAAACGTTGCGCGTTTCTAAACTGTTTTTGTGGGGACAATCTGAGAATATTTCAATCTCCGTAAAACTGAGACGATATTAGATTTGGCCGATTTAGTAAAGTGTGTTTTGGCAAGGGTTTTAGGTGTCATTCACTCATTATCAGTTTATCACAAACCGTACATGCGAGAAACCACCCAAAAAAAACTTGAATTGCTAATATACCGGCGAAACGCAAATGTAAAAAGGGGATAGCTATACGGACCGATCTAAATCGGCCAAACAAAAATGCAGAATACAGATCTGTCATGCACCACCAAGACATTAACGGTCACTTTCAAAGTGACCAGCCTTGTATTATTTCTTGCTGTTAATCCTCATGTCAACCCCAACTATGGCCGTTAACCTCTTGTCAACGCCAATTTTGGCCGGTTCTCGTTAAAATCTTTCAAGAAACACATGTAAGTGCTTTTCATTATACTATTATATAAAGATATAACGTAATAAATTAATAACACACGATTTTTTAATGATTTTCAATACATTATTTATATATAAAGATATAACGTAATTAATAACACAGGGTAAGGTTGGGCCGCCTGTGATTACAATTACAACTTTCGCGGCAAAAGAATAAGTGGTTATAACATTTTTTGTTATATTTCGGACGCATTTTAATATTTTTGAAAAAACTTGCGGCAATCGAGAGATCTCCAGCCCCTGAATATAAATTAATAAAAATGTAAAAAATGATGAAATCAGTGTTTTCATCATATAATGTAAACTTAAAGTTGCGCGACCATCAGTGCTTCCACTATAAAAAATTCCTTCTCAACTGCTCAAAATGTCCTTATTTTTTCAAAGTTTCCTTGCTTTAAAGTTGATGAATTTTACCTACTTTAAAACTGATATTACAATAATTTATCCTGAATAACGGCGTGTTTCTCGGGCGAGAATAATCATGGACGTTGCAGGGAAGGGATTGTCAAAGGAGAAGTTGACCTAAAATTATTCAAAGTGGAAGAAACAGGGGGCTTGATCTATGGGCTTGATGAGGTCATCCCTCAAAAATTTTTCAGATTTTCCATTCCCCAGGATAGGATTTTCGACATTTTCTGAAGCGAATTTGCTTGGAAATTGCCGTAATCTTATGATTTATAGAAATAACGTAATATCCTTTCTTATTTCCTTCCTGGCAACAAAATTCCTTGATAAAACCAGGTTACAACTACCATATACTATACCCGGACGGAACAATTGTGGACAAACTCAAGGAAAGTGATGAAGAATTTGTATTACATAAATACAAGTCTGAGTGTGGTAAGCCATATGATAGAATATCATTCTTCTTATGTCCCACTATGGATTATACTCGAGCGGCCGTGCAACGTTGTTTAAAGAGCGACTCTGACATTTCATTGCCAGGTGATATTGAATCAAATGATGACAGTATAGATGTCATCAATTCCAATACAACGGAAGTAATTTCTTCTGGTGAAAAACAATATAAACGTCCCGGTGCACAGCCCATGATTTCTAATTATTTGGTAAATGTTGATGCTGGTCAACATCCATTAGCGACTAGTTCAAATGCTAAGGTCAGTGTTGTTTGTGCCGATGTTCATGCCAGCACACTTTCATCAGGTCCTTGTTCCACTAAAAGTGCTCCTACGCACAATGTAGTTGTTGTGGTTGATCCGGATGCTGCTGTTCCTGAATCAAGGAAATCTCCCGTTGAAATAACCAGTGTTGTCAGTGAGAACATTGAGCAACTACCATGTTATTCTGGTGATTTTTCTGCAGCTATTCTTCGTGATAGTCAAGATACGCAATTCACCACACTCATGGAAATGTTTCCACAACTTGATGAAGTCATGATCCATGAAGCTTTACTTCAAGCTAACTTTGATATTGAGATAGCAGTGGCAAGAATTCTTTCTTGTTCACCGTCCAGTAGTACACCTCAACAAGTGTATGCAGCTCTTGATTTTTGCAATGCATTTGACAATGATGAAGAGCAAGACGAACGCACACACTCTGACGTTAACTTAGAATTAGTCAGAAACGAAAGTGGATTAGAAGCAGTCAGTGACTTACAAAAAGACTCAGATAATACCCACTTATATACCATCCTCAAGGTTTTTCTGCTGGTAAGTTTGACCCAGAATGCCTATTACGAATCAAGATTCGTCGAAGCCATCTTTGGCACGATACAATTTTCAAGCTGAAAAGGTGTGCCGAAAATGATCTCAACAAACTGATTAAAGTACAGTTTATTGGGGAGCCCGCTGTCGACCAAGGGGGCCCAAGAAAAGAATTTTTTTCCCTGCTACATAGAGGAGTATCTGCATCTTCCCTCTTTGTTGGAGAACCAGAAAGTAAGTGTTTTAACCATAATATAATCGCACTGGAGCAGAAAGAATACCTTCTTTATGGCCACTTATGTGCACTTGGCATTCTTCAAGATTCACCATCACCGTGTTTTTTCTCCTCATCTGTTGCTGATTATATTGTGTATGGAAAGCTTGACAAAGTATCTACATGCGTTAAAGATGTATCAAATGCCAAGGCCAGAAAGAAGCTTGAAGAGCTACAGGGAATTTCTGATCCAGATCAGTTCAAGAAAGTGGCCTCGTTTGATTGCTCGCTTCGATTTAAAGCCGGATATGCCAAGCCTATCGTCACAATGGAGGATAAGGATGACCTTATTCGCTGCATTTCACTGCATTATTTGTTGCTTTCCGGTCTTGTTGAGCTGGAGCAATTCATAGAGGGATTGAAATTAAGTGGTATGCTTGATCTTATCCGTCAGCATCCAAAGAAAGCACGTTCATGCCAAGTTCAGAAAATCGTGTCACTGCTGAAAAGTTGGATGCTTTATTCGACTGCATTTTTTCACCTGAAGGAAGCAACAAAAGAGCACAAGAAGAAGCTGTTGCATTAAATTTTTCCCTTTATCTGGATGCTGTAGAGGCAAATGAAGCAAAGAGTAACTTACTAGATTTGACGACTGGTGAAGAAACCGAGATAACTTTATCTCTATCTGATGTTTTGCAATTCATTACTGGCAGTTTTACTGTTCCTGCGACAGGATTCAACGAAAAGCCATCGATTGAATTTGAGCACGGTGATCCTCATCGAAAGTTGCATGCCAACACTTGCTCAAATACCATAACTTTCCCTGGGAACAGCACCTTGATGGAGTTTGAGTCATTCAAGAATGAATTTACTTCCTGCTTGGTTATGTCTCCAGGATTTGGCACCATATGACATATCTTATTGAATACATGTTTTGATATACACGTTACAGTAATGACGAAGAAAATGGTGAACTAACTATATAGCACAGTACCCAACCTTGAATATTCTTAATAAGGACGTACATGTAATCCGTTGTCGGTCATTAAGTTGATATAAAGATATTTTTTATCAAGGACTGTCAACATTGGTTGAGTACAATTAACACTCATGTAATGGACAAAGATTTCAATGTTTTAATACTTAATTTTGTAGCGCCATGATCATCTGAAAACGAAAAGTATTTCTATTTTTCCTATCTAATAGGACGAGACTAGTGCTAAGCACTTAAGACAAATGTTCAAAAAGAAAATCATGAACATATTGCGATTTATCTGTAGATTCAGCTTGTTTTATCATGGATGTTTAATTGGTGATTTCTGACGTGTTAATTGTTGTTTTGCATAACTTTTGTTCATAAGATATAACATCTACCTTGAAGGAAATTAACGATGCACTTTATTAACGCGACGTAAACTTACATTATCTAATTAACGCGGATTTCTTCTGGGTCTTTTAAAATTTAATTATATTTACGAGAATCTTATCTTCAACAGGCATATTGTAAACTTTGGACTATGGACTTTGGACTTTCGATTTTGAAATTATATTATTTTTTAGATTTTCGTATAATTATATTAAAATCTAAACAGAGAACGAAAATTTGCTGTTGAAAAGCATGCTACACTGCATGCACATGTATGATATAATATACAAGGTAAAAATACTCAGTATCAGTTATATAGGTATACCAGCAATGCAATTTCATACGGATATAGCCTGTAGGATAGCAGGATTATCCAATATTTTGGGATTTAATATTTAAATTTTAAATAATATTTGTATTTATAGTATATGCATAGTACAGTTTATACTGCAGAACTTCTTCTTTATCATGTAGATAATAGTAAATAGATTAATTGTCAGAAACAATTGTGACAAAAGTGTTTCGGCAAATACAAAATATTAACTATACAAGTGATTATTATTGCGCCTATTGAGTATTGTATTATGTATCTATTGACTGTTCATCTTTGCATAATAGTTTATACTAGTACTGTATTGTGTAATTGTTTACTCCATTACACAGTAACGTTTTGTTAATGTTACTTATTTTTGAAAGACATCTTAGTTAGCTATCCTTATCACTAAGCTGGACTAAGTGCTTCAGTTATTATTAATAAGTGTTAGTAGATGGACAGGAATATTCCAATGGAAATTTACACACTTTTTAAGACCTACTCAGTTGTGTGTGAGAAGGCAAAAATCTATGTCTATGTGCTTCAGGTAGCCTAGCAACTATTTGCCACGTTTACTGTAATACTACCACTTGCAAGTGATGAACCAGGCGGGAATCGCAATCGTAGTATAAAGATTAATGCCCAGCCGCATAACTTACGCAAAAGGGCCATATATAGACAATAATATAGACAAATATATACATAAATAAATACTATAGATTATCATAAAGTAATCAGTACTACCAATTCAATACTATTTAAAGCACGAGTAGGAGTGTTTTATCACATATAAAACACGACGCGTAGCGAAGTGTTTTATATGTGATGAAAACACGACTACGAGTGCTTTAAATGGCTTAAAAAACGAATCATCTTATACGAGTTCATTGGCGAAGTAATTTTTAAAATAAACTTTGTCTAAACCGAGAAAATCAAAGCTAAACTTTATGTAAATTAACATTATTTTTTATCACATATAAAACCACGACACGCTTATGATTTTTCTTTGTGTTCTGCTCCTGAATTATTAATGAGTTTTTTAATAATGTATCATACATTCGTATTTTATAAAGTATGATGACTATGAGAGTTTTCGTGTTCACTATGGCTGAATACATTTATGAAAAGCTAAAACTGACACAGCAAAATACATTGTAAACACAGCCTATTTAGCCAGGCGCTAAACCGGTGTAAACTATTATGCAAAGATGAACAATACCGTCATTAGTATTTTTGCGCAAGTGAATAAATATATAACAAATCCTACAAGTTGTCAAGTTGATTGGTCAAATTTGACAAATTCCCCGATAATCACGGCCTCGCCTATGGCGAATAATTGTTCAAAGCCAAAGGCGCAATAATAATCGCGTGTAGTTTATACTTATACGTGATAGTTTCTCAATATTTTGTATTTGCCAAGATACTTTTGTCACAATTGTCTCTATAAATCTATTATCTATACGATAAAGAAGAAGTTTTGCAGTATAAACTGTACTATACATACTATAAATACAAATATTATAATAAAATTTAAATATTAAATAAAAATATTACTGAGATGATCCTGTTATCCCACAGGCTATATCTATGAAATTGGACTGGTATCCTATATATAAACTGATAGTATTTTTTACCTTGAATACTATATGAGGGCCCTGAAGGGGTAAAATGGGACCTGGGATTTGCTTATTTTTGGGTGGGAAAATGAAATTTTCATGCACTGGGACTGGGATTCATCAGCAAAAAAAACAATAAAAAACTGATGGGAATGGGATTAAGATTTGAGCAGGACAGCCACTGAGATGATGGGATTTGTGTTCTGGGACAATGGGATTTAGTCAAAATTTGGGCTGGGACTGAATGGGAATACGACCCCCCTTCAGGGCCCTCTTATATCATGCACAAATTTTCGTTCTCTGTTTAGATTTTAATTAATATAATTATACGAAAATCTTAAAAATAATATAATTTCAAAATCGAAAGTCCAAAGTCCAGTCCAGTGTTCACAATATGCCATCTTCAACAACAGAAACAAAATGTTAATTAATAACAATATTGACAATGAGGGTACTGACGAATCGGATAATGAATTAAGTGACGAAGACTGAGGTTTTTAGTTTACGTTGTATGTTGATTTTTTTTATATTAAAAGAGTTAGTGTTAAATAAAAAAAATTTTAATTAATGATAACTGAAATTCGCAATCACATCAAATTAATTGATGATAATTCTTAATATTCGCATTAATATAGTGCATCGTCAATTTAGTTGTTGTAAATTCCTGTTGAAAAGTTAATATTAAAGTTCATATTAATTAACTGCAGTTATTACTATAACATGACAATAGAAAAAAGTAATATAGAAATTCAACCATATTACATAATAATTATATACCATAAATTGTTGTTGATTAATCAATGCCACTTAGCATAAATTATTTTCCTGTCTTTTTAAGCAGATCTATGATTCAAAAACTAGGTGTTGTAATTCAGTAAATGTTCAAACAAATTTAGGCATTCCTTCCAATTTCTCGGTTTTGCCAGCTGTTGAAGGTCAACAACATAATTAAAGTAACTTTGGTAATCATTATCAACAATAGGCTCTTCACAATGAGAAGCTACCACTTCCAGTTGTGCATCGGTAACTGGTTGCATTTGGTCTTCACCTCCAAAGGTTTCAGGCAAGAAAAAAAGTTCGTCAGGTTTCCCTGCGATTGTACCGTGTCTTGATTGACGAATGTAATGAGTGTTCCAATGAACCCTGAAAAAATCTAAGTCCTGTTGTAGAATTTCATTGAAACAAAACCAAAGACATTCATTATGATAAATGTTACCACTTATGTACACCCCTCTTTCAGATAAATCCTTAAAAAAGTTTATCCACCATGATGTACGACTTCGTCTCAAACTGGACCACCAGCACTCAATTCGCTGATTTGCTGTTGATGCAACATAACGATGCGCCTTTTCACCGGCAAAGTCATCTGTACCATCACCTCTCAGATAACACTGCAAGGTTGCTATTTCAACATTTTCAGTGCCAGGGTCTGTTGATAAAATTCTTGGGCAACCACCTAACTCCTCGATGCAGTTGTGATAATATTTAGCAATTACAGCTGGGTTACTATTAGTTCTTGTAACCTTCAACCATAGCATGAGACGGCTATAACCATCTATGGCGCCATGTAGTGGAAATCCAAATGGCTTCAGTTTGTCGTAGCCGTCAACATGCCAGCACTGGTTTGGTCCAGGGGATTTGTATTCTCTTCTTTTCAGCCTATGACGCTTCCGTTGCTCTGTTCCAACAGGATCTATCTCCTTCAGTAATGCTTGCACACGAGCTCGTGGAACACACATTCTATATTTAAGACGAAGAGTGTGCCATAATGTTCTATATCCCGAAACACATCGATTGGCCCATCGATTTCTTTCCTAATAATCTCCATAAGCTCATTATCGCTTACTTCGTCGCCTGTTTTTCTTTTTAGTTCATACTGCTTTAAACGCCTTTTAAGTGTCGACAATGACATAGTGATGCCATGATGCTTACTTAGGAAACATAGTATTGTATTGTATTCATACCCTGCAAAGAAGTAACTTTCAATTGCTTCTTTCTCACAGTCAGCTTCAGAATGCACTGTAGTGGAATCTGTCTCACCCTCCGCCGATGGACGTGCAGTTCTTGTACCGCAATTTGGGCAAAAATTAAACGTTTCCTCTAAGTTGTAACCGCATGATGAACAAAACATGCCACAATCGCAGCCACAAAAGATTCTGTACGGCCATGTTGTGCGCGAAAACACTGGTGGCCTGGGCAAATGAGTTGATAATTGTGAGTTGACAATTTTGAATTGTGAGTTGAGAATTTTGAATTGTGAGTTGACAATTTTGAATTGTGAGTTGAGAATTTTGAATTGTGAGTTGACAATTTTGAATTGTGAGTTGAGAATTTTGAATTGTGAGTTGATAATTTTGAATTGTGAGTTGATAATTTTGAATTGTGAGTTAATAATTCGGACTAGTGTTTTAAGTTTAGAATTACGTTTTTGACTTTGGTTTCGGTATTCGATTTTGTGTGTGTACTGACACCTGTGGGCCACCGTAATTCATAGATCTGATCCTACATAATTCTTTCCATAACCTTACTTATTGCAGGTAAGATTGAGATTGGCCTATAGTTTTCTGGGAGATCTCGTGAACCCCTTTTATGAAGTGGTAGAAGTCTAGCAGCTTTCCATTCATATGGAAAACAGCTTGTTATGATAGCATGATTAAAGATGTGCGTGAGTGATAAGGCAATAGTAGGGGCTGCAGTTTTTAAGATCTTTCCAGATATTTTATCAAGACCAGTTGCTTTCGAATTGGATATACCATTTAGAAGCTTGACTACTTTAGTATGTGAAACTAGCTTAAAGCGTGTCATTTTTGATGTAGCTGGTTTAACGAAACGATCAAACGTAACGTCAGTATCATCAACTCATATCGTATCATAACGTCAGTATCAACCCATGCACTGATGATTTATGAACCTCATCACTATTTAGGCAAAAAAATAAGCTCGTTCTTCACATGAGCAGTTATATAGCCTAAAACGTCAATAAACACAGGTTAAATGGAAACCCATTGTGCGGACTCATAAAATCGCTTTCCCCAATTGCCATTTTGGTTTAATGTTGTACATAGCATCTTGTACTAAACGAATCTAACTTGCTTTGTTGTCTTGATGGCTACACAAAGTAAATATTTTGCGTTTTATGTCAATTTATTCCGTAACTGTGCGTATTTATTTAAATATATTTTGAATATTTGTGTTAATGTAGGTATATCAAGTTATGACTATCAAGTTTGTGTTGTGCTTTATCTATTTAGCATAAAATTATCGTTGCTTATGTATTGTAACCTTGTCCGCAAAACGGGCGAAAGTCATAGTTTGTATCAAATATAGAAAGAAAGCTATCGCCATTAAGCCGTATTATTTACGACCAGCGGGAGTCCGTGTTGTCGATTATAATTAGTTGCGCAAGACTGCAAGTCCATACAAGTGCGATGAATACCCATGATTTCATGTTTATATTGTACACAAACATCGTCTTGATTATTTCTTATCAATAAAATATGAAACTACAACTTTATAATATGAAATACAACATGAAATTGTATTTTGTAAAGATTTAGATATAACTTTCTGGATGTAAATATGACATCAATTCTGCCAGCAGAAAACGAGCTTTTTTACATGCAGAACATATAAAGCCATGGCCCATGGCGAGATTTGTTTTTTTTAACTAAAAAAAGAAGCGAAATACACTAAACGAGCTTACAAACTAAGACAGAGAAAAGAGAGAGAAAAACACAACCTCGGCATTGAAACTTTCAATATCACGCGAAAATTATTAATTATTGTTGTAATAGATTTTTTGAAGTTTAGTAAATTTTGTGTTCGCATGTCCGCGTTTTCCACTTGACTTGCGTGTCCGCATGTTCGCGTCCGCATGTCCGCGTTTTCCACCTGACTTGCGTGTCCGCGTGTCCGCATGTCCGCATATCCACGTTTTCCACTTGACTGGCGTGTCCGCATGTCCGCGTGTCCGCATGTCCGCGTTTTCCACCTAACCACGAATTGTCCCATTTACTGCAGCTTGCCAGTTAGAACAGGAAGTGAATACGACAAATAGTGCCTTTATGTAAATGTTTATAAAGTTACAACACATATACAAATCTGAATTCAATTTGAATAGTTTTTAATATTCACATAACATATGCGATGTTAATATTTGCTCCCAACGGCTACTGAGAAGTCATACGTTGTACTTCATCTCATCAAATGTCTTCTTTTCATCCACATGTCTGGATGAATAGCGCACCAGGGATTAGGTTTTTAGATTGCCAAGAAACAAAATTTTATTAAACATGTTAATAAGTGTGGGGGCGAAACAGGTGGGAAATTTGTCTGAACATGCGCGAGCAAAATGAGTCACGCAATTGAGTTGAATACACGCAACGCGTGTTTCCAGGGCACAATCGTGTAAATATTGCCAAATGTTTGTACAAAATAAATGACTGTTTTATGTTGAAAATGGACATGATCTAAATTAATCATACATAATTTTTTAGTGACGCTCTATTTCAGCACCCTGCGATTGTCTCAGGTGGGCTGTCCGTGCGCATTCGATCTGAAACAGTTGATACTTTGCTGTCGCGCAATTTCGAATGTTTGCATGAAAATAGAGGCAAATCATGCACTTTACAACCTCGTAAAGTGTATGAGCCCCTATTTTTACGCTTATACCTAAGATATCAAATAAAAATACATGAAACAAAGAACATTTTTAGAACGTTTTATTGTGAGGCCACAGCCAGTTTTTAAAATATCTTTATTTCTGTTCCGGTCATCAACAAAATTACACTAAAGCCGGGCAGCCGGACCCGAGTCCCATATCGGGCTCTATTTCTTCAGTGGGTGTATTTCTATGAGCCAAAATCGCCTATAAACACCTTCATCTCTGCGCTCATCCCAGGCCAAAACATACATTCCTGTGCTCTCCTTAGGCAGCCATTCACTCCAATGTGTGACTTATGTACATCAAGCTTCATTTGCTGTCGCGTTCCTTTCGGAATGACCAATCTCTCTCCCCTGAAGACCAGACCATCGTACACACTAAGCTCATCTCTACATGTATAATACGGATGAAGCGTGGTTGGTAGGTCTTGTTTCTGCTCAGGCCACCCCCGCTGTACATAAATGTCCAATACTGACGATCGGTATCCAATCGACAAAGCCGTCTTACAGACGGTACGGATGGATCCACCGGACAATCTTGTTTACCGTCGGACAATATTTTACCGATGGCTGCCCAAAAGCAAATAAACGCCTGCTGCGCAGATCACTGCGTGAGTGTCTCGGGTGGCACTGCAAGTTCATTGTGCGATGTGTGAATGTCGAATGGTCCGATCGATCGATCCGATCCATCGGACAAACGTTTTCGCGGTCCGACAATTATTTTACCGATGGCAAAAAGGGACCCGGACAACCTTAGTACATGAATTATAACATCAAACTAATTATTATAATTGCCAATCAAGCTCAGAACACGAATGATTTTAAATACATGATGTTCCTTCGTTCTTTAGAAACCTTATCATAATTTTACATGCCAAACAACCTTAGTACATGAATTATAACATCAAACTGAATTATTATAATATATGCCAATCAAGCTCAGAACACGAATGAATTAAATACATGATGTTGCGTCGTTCTTTAGAAACCTTATCATGATATTACATGCCAAACAACCTTAGTACATGATTTATAACATCAAACTGAATTATTATAATATATGCCAATCAAGCTCAGAACACGAATGATTTTAAATACATGATGTTCCTTCGTTCTTTAGAAACCTTATCATAATTTTACATGCCAAACAACCTTATATAGTACATGAATTATAACATCAAACTGAATTTTTATAAGAAAATATGGAGATAGCGTAGCTAGGTTTACACATAACTAAAAGTAAACGTTGTCTGACTAAGATTTTTATTTAAACGACCTTTCGCGACTACCTATAACTGTAGTCTTGGGCGGGTAAAGCGGAATGAATTAATTACAAGCGTGCATGTGTCAGGTGATATTATAACAATAATATGTGATTGGTGTGATAATTATAGCGTCTAGCCATGACATTTTTCATTAACCACCATAGCACTGCATATTGTTTAGGAAGCGACTTACAATTATTTTCATAATTTATTATTATAGCAGTATGCCAAGATTCTAGTAATGTTTTACGTGTCCGATACTTGCCACTATCAATTACTTTCCCATTATGAAAATCAATTATAAGTAATTACACGTTCCATATAATCATTTGTTATATAGATTATAGTAGAGAGCATGAGATACTGAAAAATACACAGTGACATAATATTTTCCATATCTTCACTAGTGAAGGTTTCGATCACGTGACTTTTGTATTTATGCAATTTCTTGCTTGATCATGACAGTATATAATCAACAAGGGCCGGTTGTATAAAACTCCTAATCGCTTTTTTAATCACTATTTTGTAGTTAAATAGTGATTAACTCTCAAATACGCGCTTCTTATTGGATGACGTTTCCACTAACTATAGTTAACTTCAATCACTTTTTTATTCAACCGGCCCCAGAACTTACTGTCATTACACGGTAGCTTGGAGATATGACTTTTATCTTCTCGTGTTAAAAACGGTATTTTACTCACTCGCTGCGCTGGTTTGTAAAATATTGTTTTCATCACTCCAAGGCAAAAGTCATATCTTCACGCCGCCGTGTAATATCCTCTATATATATGATCAAGTTATATTATTATATTATGATATTATCCATATCCCATGCATGTTTAGCTATAATTGAGCCTTTTTTATAGTTTTTTACATTTGGAATATGTTCCTTTTTTCGAGTTACAAATGATCTTCCGGTTTCGTCAACATATGAGCAAGAGCAGTCAGAGCAAGGTACATTGTGTGAAAGGCCCTGTTTAAAGTTAGTGGATTCAAGTTCTTATATTTGTATATTTCACTCCTACGATACTGCTATTTATTGTTTGCAGTGTGCATGTGATCCGTCAATTTTAGTATACTCACTTAAAATATTTCAATGCTCATAATCGTTTTGCCGTGATTCATTTGAAGTTGGCATATACGTCATAACTGGTGGTGTTACATCCTCGGCAAACGTTTTCCCTCACACCTAACAGGCTAACTAAATTTCCGGCCTTGTGATCTGAAACAATTGCAACGCCAATTTTGATTGACATATGTTCTTGAATTACACAGTATAAAACATGCTAAAAATCCTTTCTTGTCATTCCCTTACCGAGAATTGTCGACAAACACCACAATAAAACTTTTATCCAAATTACGCTATAAACTATGGCTTGGCATAGCGATGAAGCTGTTGAGAACAATCTCAAAAAATGCTATGAAGTTGATATTGATTGGGATTTAGTCCAAAAAAAGCTGCAAGATGTAAGTATTCATTGTTTTCTAACAATACCTACGCAGCACAGTGGTTATGTGTTTGTTTGATATTCTCCTCTAACTATTGTTTAAACATCTTTTTTTCCTTTATTACAACAGCTTTGTGAATTCTAGGGCAAAACCATGAAGCAACGTAAAACTACTGTTTTACTTGGCATCTTGTCTCTTGTTTCTTTCATGCTGGGGCACGCATCACTTCATGTGAAAGATGGTTGGGAAGAACCTATTGTCTTGTGGATGGCTGTCGTGCTCAAAACAGGTATTTCGTTTTCAACGATTCTTTATTCCTTTATTTGCTAACATCGACAACGTTGTTTGCCTTGTTGGTCCTGTGTAAAACTCCACTTTCTGTAATTTCTGTACTGATTAAAACGCACAATTTACTGGTGTTTTTATGGGACACGTTGCTCCGCGACAATATTATTTCCTAATTCCTAAACTTTACCAAAAATCACTTTCATGACATCTTCGTATGGTTAAACTGCTGCCGAGCGATTTCACATTTTTGCCGCTGTTTGGTGACAGAACAATTATATACCTTATATAGAATAAGCTATATCACTAAACACTTGGCGTTTTCCATCCGATTCATGCAGTAACTGCCCGACTAAAAATTTATAGAAGGAAATAGTTGTTTTTAAACTTTCTTCTTAATAATGCAGGCCCATGCAAGCATACATTAAGTGGGTGTAACGATTCATTATTTAGCCGCACGGAGAGATACCTCATATAAATGAATAGACCCCCGAAACATTAGTAAATGAATGCTTTATTCATCGCGAGGTAGGGAAACAGTAGCCGAACGTTAACTCTCGGAATGCCATAATTTGCTGCTAAATATTTCTCCCTTTATATTCCCTACAAAAATTTTAATCCATTGTATATGGATTGTATGCAAATTGGTATACAAACGGTGCCATTTTGTCGTTAATTTGAAAAATTTCTGGGAATAAAATGCCTGCATCCTGACTGTTAAATCATGCAGCAAGTGTTTGCCAGTGTTTTCCAAAGCTAGTATTCCAAAGGTCGCAGGTTCGAATCCCACATTCGCTTTGAAATTTAAAGTGTTTGTGATTGAAACTTAGCGATGTCGATTTGAAATATTTAACGAAGTATTAGAAATTAACATCATGATTATTTTATCTAAACTCTAAAAAACAGTTTTGGCCGACTTAGAATTTAGCAAGCGTCATGTATTTCGCGCCTGCATGTACGCGCGAAATTTCTGACCCGTCACGCTAGGTCAGGTATTTAGCAGAGGTCAGGAATTTCGCTTGACACCGGGCATATTTTTCAAGCTCGCCCGGTGTGGATAACAGTCAGAGTAACATATCACAAACATCAAATATATTGTTACTGACGCATATTATTCGCACACCACTATAAAAATAATTCTAAGGCCAAGGTTAAAAAGCTGAAAAGCCAGCGCCAGCGGTCCAAAATAATTTATCATTAATTGTGTTTCCTCAATTTAAATGAGCCACACAATATCGTAAACAGTATTGTAATAAGGTTTCGAACCTACGAACAAACTATTAATTTACATAAATATTTACCACTAATTCCACATTACAACAGGCCAAGTGACGCATTATTTAACGTACTTAAACTATGGCCTCTCAATAAGTGCAAGTCAAGTATACAGTATATGTCTCGCCGGAGACAGCTTCCACAGTTGCCAACGGAGAATAAACCAGTCCAAACAGTTCTCAACGGAGATATAAATTTCAACCTACAAGCTAACATGCATACCAAAACTAATTAAATATTCTAATGTTTTCTTTTGGCAGAAAAAATCTATACCCATTCCCAATTTCGCAATTACAAACCTATCTGATCAAAACAAATTCATCGTTGTTTTATTTGTCAACTTATTTGTATAGTGTTGAATAAGATGTTTATACTTTTTAATGCAACGAACTCGCAATGTTTCACACTATATAAGCTACATAGCGGTAGTACCCATTCAAACTATGATTAGTCTATGTAATAATTGAAGGAAACGCCAATTGCATGCATAATAAAAATCAACACGTCCTATTCCGACAGTAAATGCCAACACACCTGGCAAACTCTAGCCTACGGTGTCTGCTGGGGTCTACGTACGGTACACCGTAGGCTAGGCAAACTCTTCTTAAGTTCAGTCTGTCCAAGAAGTGTTATCTCATGCGTTTTAATTTTAGTTGCTTTGAATCCATTTATGCTCAAGTTATAAATTAATAATGTCGATTTCATGTGGGTATTCTGTATGCGCCCTCGCTATCCTGCTGCGTTCTTTGTTTCAATTTGCTCCCCTTTTTAGTATTAAACAAACATAGCCCCAGAAATCAGGAAAGTGATAAGGCACTCATGAAAGTGAGTCTCTTTTAAACCTTTTAGGCTATATACCGCTTGCTAATATATTTTCCCTATTAAAAATTGTTTTCGTTTATATTAGAGGAGGGCCAGCCTTAAAGGCCATTTTCCATTGCAGTCGCTTTGCGCGCGCGGGCGGAGCGAGCAATTTTAATCAAGTGAAAAATGCAAAGGTTAATTAACTACAGACAAAGTTAAGTAATGTCCGCTTCACCGCCTGCACGCCCTTGCTAACCCTTGCGCAACCTTTTCTTCCGCCCGCGCTTGAAACACAGAGACGACTGGGGACGAGTCAGCGCCCGTGCGGCCAAAGCGACAGCAATAGAAAATTGCCTTAAGCCGGTTTTCCACTAGCGACTTTTGTCGCGTGGAGCGATCTTTGTCGGTATCATCTGTTACGTCAACAAGACGTGGCAAAATGATGCCGACAAAGGAAAAAGGTCGCTTCGCGCGAAAAAATTCGCTAGTGGAAAACCGGCTTCACTAGGGTCAGGCAAGATCTTGCTATTGACGAGGCGACATCTTGCCTTACTACATGCAGGGCTGGAAACTTCCCATCAATAAACGCAGTAGGGAGGGCTGGCCTCCCTAGTAGTTATCTCATGCATGTAAATGCGGCGAAAATCAGCCCTACTCATTTTCCCCACAAAACTTTGAAATAACGTACAGTGTGTCCCCAAAAAAGGCTACCCTTTGAAGTCAAGCGCTAGTGCCGCATGTTCGAATTTGATTGCTTTAACTCCCTAATAAGCCCTGGAATGCGTAAAACGTTATACTGTACGTAGTCAATTATATTCATGCATTCCATTCTGTGTTATTTCAGCGGAACAAATTTCAATTAATTTGCAATGCATGCATAAAAATGCTCTGCTATAACGTTTTACGCATTCCAGGGCTCATTTGGGACACACTGTATAGTGATTGAATTTCAATGCCCGATTACTTTGCTGAACCCACAAGCGGCATAAAAGTTGGACATAAGTAAATTTTATGCGTAAATAAAACTACAGGGTGTCCCAAAAACCCCGAAAACTATTGAAATGTATTGTTAGAATTTGAATGCCTCAGCACTCTGCTGAACCCACACGTGCATCAAAGCTCGTAAGTAAATTTTATGCATAAAGAACCGTTTAAGACGCTGTTTTAAATTCCCAAGAGCAGAAAATCGTGCGCTTGACAAATATATTTTAATTTCTTAATAAGCAGCTTAGTGCTAGGGCATTCAAATTTTAACAATACGTTATTTCAATGGTTTTGCGTTTTTTTGGCGCACACACTGTATTTAAATTCCCAAGAGCAGTTAAATTGTGCGCTTTACAAAGTCAAACATATTTTAGTTCTTAATATAAGCACCCTGTCAATATTTTGCTGGGCATTCAAATCTAAACAATACCTTATTTCAATAGTTTGGGATTTTTTTTAAAACATCCATGTATAGTATAATTGCTGAGAAATATGTCTATCTGCAGCATCTGTCTGGGAAAATTGTTCAGTTTCATAATTAACACATACATTTAAGTTAATTCTAGAACAAAATAAGAAATTACATTAGTTCGTTTGCGACTGTATGATCGAATATTTGATCATATCTTAGTCCTACTTTACAACTTTCATGTGTGCCATCATGCATGTGTGCCTCATTTACACAGTATACTAGCTGTACCCAAGTTGTAAGCAGGGTACATGCGGCAGCAGTCTTAGTTTTTATCATGGATTGTAAAATAACTGGATAGGAAACTTCCTGACGTCACAGTTTAAACCCAGTTGCGTCATGCGTATTGCCAAAGTTCTCTCAGTATTTTTGTTGTTTCGCTATATTTTCTGCTTTAAAATATCAGAGTAATATTGCATAAACTGGTCTAATTGTTTTAAAAACATGCCTAACACACGACCAAGTATATTCAAGGTAAATGTTTTTCGTCTTTGTTTTGTATTTTTTTACATTTGTAACCACGAAATTGGCGTCGCCAATTTTAACGAAATTAGCGATGCATTTTTCACTATAATAGTTTTCTTTCATGTTAGTGGAAACACCGCGTAAATTTGTTACTGTATTTTTCACTGTTTAGTGCTTGAAATATTTCCTAAAATTGACTGGGAATACTTAGATATTTCATCGTAGAATGGCGTAGTTATATTTATTTGCTCTTTCACTAAAATGTTTAGCTGTATTATTGCTAAACATGCCGTTTTTGAGAATTTGGTTTGCAACTAGGTTTCGACATCCAATCACGTCATCCATCAGCCCATTGAAAACATTAGGTCACGTCAGCTACTTTCCTATCCATTTATTTTATAATGCATGGTTTTTATAGACAACCGTTGTGCAGTGTCCTTCATAGGCTATAACCCTAATAGATTATAACAAATTTCATTAGAAGCCATTTTCGGCTCTTTTCAAGTATTTACTTCAAAACATCTTCTGATACTCCATAGTATATGGAGCGAAGGCAGTAAAACACTTTTCAGTACGATTTATTAGCATGTATAGTCCTCCGTAAATTAGTAAATTACTCGTTTTAGCTTATTAAAGAGATAGGATACTTCTTTTCAATCATTTAGCCCTACCCTATTTTACATATTTGTAGACTATCATCATGACCAGATTTTGTTATCCATTCATGCGACCCTCTTAATCATATATCCATGCATGCCTATAAGGCTATATGCCTATATAAGCATACTGCAGTGTATATACAACAACACTTCCGTTTATTCGCGACAAATGCTTAGTCTTAATATTAATATATCATGTAAGGATATATACTATATAGAAAAAGAGTTATTCAACTGGCGATATTCTAGTAATTTGCCATTGCAAATTATTCATTAACTTTATACATTTTACTTCTTCCTACCGGCCGAAATAAACTTCTTTACCATTTTTGTAAAGTTTCGTTCGAAATCGCATTTAATTAGTCATACATTTCTATTTAGCTACTAGGAATGAATCCACCTTAAACTTTGCGAATATATTGAAGGCAACTGAGCCATTCACTGAGAAGTAATAAAGCAAAAGTTAATCTTATTACTTGTTACATGTGTTGGAGAGTGTTACTGTTATAGACACGGAATTTCCCAGTACATTCTGTAAATATTAAAATACAGTATAAAAATAATATCTCAGTCAAACAATGACAACGCTCAACATTCGTTACGCCACTGGGTGGTCTGATGCGGCATATATACGGCGCATACGCCGAGAAAGAAACATTTTATAAACTATGCTAAAAAATGTTGTGCGTATTCCCACGTATTGTTTATACGATAAGTATACTCTATCCACACACTGAATACGCTAGAGGTACGCCAGATGTACGGTACTCCCTATACTCATGCATACGCGCTGGCATTTCAAGAGATTTTTCCATATGAAAATTATTTCATTTAATACATTTCTCTCATACGCAATAGTGTGAGAAAAATTTACGAATGTGTGAAATCAACTACCTCATTTTCTTTGGAAACCTTATTACTATCAGACAACATATTCTGGTTATATACAACCTATAAATACCAATGTATAAATACGAATGGTCTTGCGAAGTACACTTTTAGTATAGCCTAAGTTGAAAATTAATGACACAGCTAACTAATACTCCATTAAAAATCAGAAATATATAATACATATACTTAGCTTCAATTTTTAAAATGTATATAAACAAGTACAGTAGTGCCTGAACACTGAAGACCTGTACGAAACATCAGTTGCAAGTTGCCCCGATTCTTTAATTACTCTATATTTTATTGATCCCTCACTCGATTTCAATTTCCGCCATAACACTATAAAAATGACTTCAATTTCAATTCAACTCGGGATCAGTAATGTTATTATAAGTCCATTAATGCATGCATTGGTTCCCATTCACACCCTACAATACTATTACATATCTATTTATACGAATCTTTAAAGACACCATATAAATTACCAGTGGTAGTCTTTATAATTGTAACAGGGAATGTATTTTTTTATGAACTTCAAGGTAGATGCAAGTCAGCATTACATCGATTTTTGGAAAAATTGATTAAAAAGGTGAGAGATAAAGTTCGTTCAGATGATCTGCCTGAAGATGTATCAAAAAGTCAAATTTTAAACCGCACAATAATTTTACCTCATTGCACTTGGGACAAGTTTGGTGAAATCATGGCTAACAATGGGGGAAGAATTTATGGACTATTCGATGAACTTGTATCGTTTTTCTCGACAATGAACATGTATTCCTCATCGAAAGCTACTGTTCAAGACAACCGCGAATACCAAGACTTCTTAAAAATGTTCACTGGAAAGGCGAAAACTAGAGAAACAGGTGAGAATATTACTCGAGGCCATAAGGGGACCTAAGTGCGGGGTGTTGAACGGCTAAAACACTTTACGATGTAGGTGGCCGTGACAGTTGTGTTTATAAAACCCTGGCCCTTTATTTCCCTCAAATTTTCAGACACATCTTTTTCGGTACTTCTATATATCTCCTAGACAAAGGTATGGTCATGATAATATTAAATCATTTCTTTAGAAATTGATTGTTTTCATAGTAAATGAACACGAAAATATTTCCATTCTATTTCCATAGAATTTTTCCCTCTTTTGGTTTTATAATGTTGGACAGAAATGACCTTCATTGCCAACTACCCTGGCCTATTATTTTAAGATTGCGTTAAACTTTGTTGTTGTTAAACTATGCAGGGATTTATGGGTATTTAATTGATTATTTGTGCGATAAAACTTATACAACAAATTTCAAACTATAGTATATTTTAAATTTGTACGTATGACAGTAAACCTTCTAATTCCATATTTGCCAAGTTTACCATGTTGTATATGTCATCCATATAAATATTACATTAACATATTAATTTTTTGTAATTCAATCAGTATCCTTATGAACAACTATCTTTCCAATATATATAGTTACTGGCAATGCGAACTTCAACATGAACCAGACGTCCCTTCAACTACTTGGATTTACGCAGCCTCAGTCAGCATTACCAATCATCCACAATGCCCAAAATAACGCCAAGGGATTCACATCAAGGATTTTATGGTATTTCCCCACTCCCATTTACAGTCGCCTTGCTGATCTTGAACTATCAGCCGAAGAGAGACAAACTATACAAGAGGGTGAAGAAACACTTGGTAATAACTTTAACATCCACTACCTGCATGCATTTATTTTTTCTTGCAAACTTGCAAATTACGTTTTCAAGTTCGAAAATTTACCGCTCACACTTCGTAAATTAAATTACCCCACGTAATGCAAAATGACTGAAAAACGGCAAACTTCGTAAGGTTATATTATCCGCATTTTACAACATTTCGCAACGAAATTTTGGAATATTACTAATTTTGTGATGCTCTTTCAAGCTGTGATCAAATTTTTGTCACTACGCTTGTTGAGATAAAATTTTTGTCTATTATGCAAGTTGTCAATCAGTCGGCGCGAACTTTGCTACAAAGGTCGCAAGTACATTTCAATATTTTTACTACTATAAACAATGTCAAATGTTCATAGTTCAACTGTTCAAGTCGAATTTTTTTTTACTTGAACAGTTGAACTATGAACATTTGACATTCTTTGTGCAGGGAATCGTCTACCAAGAAGGTTTGTATTTCATTCGATTGATTATTATTATCAAGTATCAACATTTGTTAACAAACGAAGTTCAAACGTTCAAATGTACTTGCGAACTTTGTTGCGAAGTTCTCGCTCAATTTTAAAACTTGCACACGTAATTTACAAGTTTGCAACGAACTTGGGACCCGCGTGTTGAAAAGTTACTAGAAATCGACAATATTGCCTATTGATGTCCGGTAATCATCATTTTAGTTTCTCTTCTTACTGAACTATACTTGGCTGGTGAGAACACGTTTGAGATTTCTGAAGTTGGTAAAATTGTGGATGTTAAAGTGAAAAGAAAAGAATTTGTTCTCTCCAAAGAGGCTAAAGAACTTTTTGCACAAATTCACGATGACTGGGAAATGAATGTCTGCAAAAGATTTGATAATGATTCCTTAGTCAGTGGTTAGTATTATTACTGTTAGTATTCTTGCCACTAAAAATCAATACAATTAATAGGTGAATTTAAATAAAAATTTTGTATGTGACTGTGTAGGGTTATTTGCAAGAGGAAACTGCCACGTTGTGAGGCTAGCTGTACCTATTCACATCCTTTTCCAATGTTTTTCGGGAAATGAAAACATGCCGGATGAAGAAATGACGTCTTTACAGGCTGAACATAAACAGTCTGATTCCGACGACGAATCATCGACACTTTCTGCCTCCCAAGAGGAACTAGCAACAGCAGAAGACCAATCAGCAACATCATCTGATGCCGACGATGAACTACCAACTTCTGACGTTGAACACCCAGTCATAATTAATGCACCTGCAATCCGTGCTGCTCATGCAGTGGTACATACATGTCTCCATCACGTTTGTATGAAAATTATTAAATTTGTTTACTTTTCTTACTTTAAATGCAATATAAAGTATTCGTAATACTATAATCATCATGCAATAAGTGGAACATAAAGAGATGGTCATATAGATGAGTATCACGTCGTTATGAAACAGGAAATTGCATCATTGGTATTGTACCCTTCAACATAGGTGCTCAGCCTATTCTCTCAGTGTTCATTTTGTATTATCAAAACGTATAAGCACAGTCATGTGTAGTACCTAATTTTCATCCATGTTAAACAAAAATCAATTATATGATAAAGTGAATTGAATAACCCTTTTACCTTCAAGTCCTTGTATAGTATCGTGGATAAATATAGAGCATGCACAACTTCCAAATACTATAATATTGGACACGTAATTTTGCAATCACAACTGTGCGTTCCATTTAGCCTATTTTAAACCTATATGGACTGTTTTTATGGCCCCGCTTGCCGAAACGTCTCGCCAAATGACACAAATAATATCGTGCATTCATATGCATTTTTTCACCTCGCTTCCCGACATTAGAATATTACGGTTCATTATTAGTACCTGTATACTTGTACGTTTCAGTCATGCACTAAACACATTTAAGCCCCATAAACTATAGGGAAAAATTGGTGAATTAAGAGGTAACATCGGAAATTTGGTATCTTCACTTCATCCTGCTGTAGATATGAAATATTTTTTATTCTTTCTGTCTATACATGGTATTCTCTATCTTCTCTTCTCCAAGCAGACTATCGTATTAATGCGATGTAAATAATACTAATAAATAATAATATTCCCATTTATGCGATTTATAGGCACAATGAACAACAGGAGAATACCAAACGACGATGATGGAGACAAACAACATCAACCCGAAGACACCATACCCACAGAAATAGATGACAATGAAAGACGAGGTTGTAAGGTCATCCTTTTGAGCCCTGGGCCACTCGTCTCCCTTAGCCGTCTTCTTTCGAAGTCCAAATTAAGAGGAATTAAAGTAAAAGATGAAAGTGGTGCAGCTGCAGGAAAATTACTTCTGCGAAAGCTTTCAAAGCTTGGACTTGGGCGTATTCTCAGTTTTCGTGTGCGGCGAAACAATTCAGTCGTAAGTAATGGATATATAAACTATATTTAAGGAGGCTCCCTACAGTTATTAGTAGACTTTTAAGTTGATTTAGTCAGACGTTATTCTCATGTGGTGCGCGTGGAAAATTCGTAGGGGTTCTTTAAACAAGTCGGCTAATATCGATACATACGTAGTTGAAATGTACTGTTCTTTCTGTTTTTGATATTTGCAAAATAATATGTCAACCCGTGGGAATGTCCCGCGGGAAAATTGACATCCTGATTTTTTATGACGTGATATACTCAAATTTCCGTAAAAAGAACTGTATTTTTCTCGTGTTTCCTTCGCTGCATGAAAACGTTTTAAACTCTGTGCACTGTACAGCAATCACACAATGCATAAAATATGCGAGTTTACAGAAAGTCGTATAGGAGCCCATTTTTTAATCTTTAAAACACGGTTTTTCGAAAATTAAAAAAGTGGCTCCAACAACTTTTTAATTAAAAAAGTCTTATTTGAAATAACTACACATTACCTTCAATAAAAACGTTTCACCCAAATAAATTTCAAAAATGAAAGATAGAAATTAAATTTTTTTCCACCGCAGAAATTTCGACAAATCCTTCGAAATCCGCAGAAACTTCGACATCTCCTTAAAATATACTTAACGTTCGGGTTTCGCTGTAGGATATAATTGTAATTTATTTACTACAGGCTGTGTGGTTAACTTAAATAAAGCAATTGTTTTATGCATACACCAATGAAGTACCCTGAGTGAAAGAGGTCACCTCTAAAACACAGAGTAGTTTAATATAAACGTTAACTTCCTGCATTTAAACAAACTGTTACTTTCCATTTCTCAAGGTTCAATTCCTCGAAAAGAGCACTATTCCGCAGGACATGACAAGCAAGTACCAATTTGGGAATATACTGGCAAACGTCGGAATTTCCTTAGCGAAGTACGAAGAAATGTTTCAGGCTGATAATGAAGAGAGGTTTGTTCTCAATCGTTATCGTTTCTAGGATGTGCACGAAAGGCTTAAACTAACCCGTACATACTTATATGAAATTTAAAACAATTTCCGATTGTTTGTGGCAATAAAAGAAAATAGATCATGCTACAGATACCGTCTTTCTATGAAAAGGCTTTGTAAGAAGATGCATGACCTATACTAGTTACAAAACTACCGTTTACCTTTTTCACTCTACAGTGTCAAATAATTGTTTCCCCTTAATTGTACCTTAACCCACTAAGTGGAAAAGCTCGTCACGAGCAAAATTGTCTGCCGTAGAGTAAAATAATAGGGCGTTTTCTTAGCCTTTCAGCTTAATCCTGCATCACCGAACGCATCGCATACAATTATAACTATGCGTCCCATTTTATGGTTGTGTAAATGTCAAATACACTACCACAAAATGTAACGCTTGCAAAGTTTACTTCAAAATTTAATTGCACAATTACGCTTTTTTTCTAGCAACCAACATTTGTCAGATTTCAAAAATAGAGGGACAGTTATTGGCGACAGGAGAGAGGAGCCTGACCCAAGCGATTCTCCATCTTCACCAAGCAAGACTATTTGTGTGGAAGTCGACATTCACAAAGAAAAATAGAAATCGTCTATACATCCAATCTCGTTCCCCGAGCCTGCGATCTTCGGGAACTGAGGAACGCGAGGCTCTGGGATAATCCGTTTCAGGGAGGAATCTGATTGGCCGTTGAAATGGAATGCGTAGTTCAATCTTAGCCACAATTTCTGGCTTCCGGCAACGGATTATCCCAGAGCCTCGCGTTCCTTCCCGAAGATCGCAGGCTCGGGGAATCGCAGGCTCGGGGAACGAGATTGCTATACATCTTGCATATAACTTAATACTTCCATAACAGTGCTTCGCAACACTTTATCGGCGGAACATATCGTTTTACGATTTTATAAATTCAACTTTTCCTATAACCTTCATATATAGTGTATATTCTTATAAATTTACTAAAAATTTAATTATCAGATCGTTTTCTGTAAACGTACATTTATATCTTCATTCATTATTATATAATGTCAATAACTTGCACAATACTCAAGATATTGGAATCGAAGTCATCCCAAACTCATTGCAGGTGAATTGCACGTTGTATACATGCACTTTTCTTATGCTGTATACCGACACTGTTTTTCACGGGTTGTTTTAAAATTATTGTATCCATAATTATGCAAATTTGTTCTTATTTTCGTAAAAAGTCAATTACATCATCAATACCTAGTATATAGTACAAGATATTTCTGATCTTATGTGAATATTCAGGTGTGTTTTGATGTTATATACACTCAGCCTCAGGTGAATATGTTTTTTTTTTCATGTTACTTTGAGTGTGTATCCACATCGGACAGGCTGAAAAGTTAGCCTCACCAAAGTGCGAATCGAACCCGCCACCTTTGGGATACTAGTCCAATGCGGGTCCCATTCCCACCGTGTTCGTAGGCTAACTTTTCAGCCTGTCCGGTGTGGATACACACTCAGAGTGACATAAAAAACGTTACATAGTATACAACCTGTGAGAAAATTAAAAGCTTTAATCATATTTTTAATTAATAAATGGAAAATGTGTTGGGTTTTTAATTAATGTACAAAATTTCAGACAATTTGCTTGCAATCAGCCTTTCGCATGCAAATTGTGCATATTGCTGACATATGCAAATTAGGCAAAGTAATTAATTAACCATGCCAATAGCTGATTTTTGTAGAAAAACATGTAAGTTGCATGAATGGTAAAAGGACTTTAAACTACAGCAAATTGTCTGAAATTTTGTACAGTCATTAAAAAGCTAACAAATTTTCCATCTATTAACTAAAAATATGATTAAAGCTTTTAAATTTCGTGCCGAAGCCATTCTTAGTTTGCTGGAAAAGACGCACCCCCGGCCCCTGTTCACAGGGGGGGGGGGAGAAGAAGAAGCTATATACATCAAAAACTGGATACTAATAGCTGTTTTGGGAAATTGAGAGCAAATTCATATCTGTTCAGTTTTTTTGGTACACCCTGCATGTATGATGAGCCATACTATATATAAGTCATACACAATAACGCCACTCCTTTTACGCACAAATGAAAAAAAGTTTTATTATATATACGAATATAACAAATAGGAAAATATTAATTGTCATATATCACAAGAAAAATATACAATAGATGAAAAGAGTACGAAAAACTACCGTATATGTGTATATAATACTTTTTGTGTGGAAACACCACGTAAGTTTATCGCTGCAGTAATAATTTCACGTGGTAACAAAAAGTATTATATGTTTCAGAGCCATGCAAACCTACAAATAACTTATTACTTATGTATACTCACAATTTAGTTTTTTTCACTTTAGCAACTATCTAAGTACAAAATATCCCTTATTTACAAATAATGCATCATTTTTATAATAAAGTCATTCCAAATATGAACTCATTTATCGGAAAGGTAATTTTGACAAAAATTGTATTCTTCTATTTCACTTATGAAGTTTGTATGCATTTCTTATGTTGTACAACGTACGACCTCGTACGGTTTTCTTAAGCACTTTTAACCCTTCTATCCGACATGTGTGTGCTCGTACGGGTAACCCCCTAAAACCTGTGCTTCCAGAAAAATCACTATTTACCTATCAATTTCCTTCTGTTATGTTATTATGACTGTCCATTATATATACAACAAAGAATAAAAATCGCCACCTATTCATATGTTTGGTCATCCTGCTAAACAAAGAAAACCAGTGGAATGTCTGCTCGCATACTTCCGTGTTCACCTAAACAAAATTAAAATACGGTGGTCTTACTTAACATACACAAAAAACTAATATAGTCAATCACTCATCGGCATTCATCACATTACTTTTCATTTTGTCTTGCACAAGCCCTTCAAGAGTATTAAGAGGCAATTTTTTTCAATGTCACGTATTTGCAATGAAAAGTGTGCAAAACCTAAAATCTTTTTGGCGTTCCTCTCAAAATTACTTTGTTTAAGCTTTATTCTCTAGTTTATAGAGTTAGCTATCTTTTTAAATGCATCTTCTGGTTGAGAAACATAAAATAATAGTTAAAAATTGTGAATTAAAATACAATTGTCAATGTTGCTTTAAAATTGACGCCATATTTATAGCCATATTAGCAAAACTTGCGGAACTTCAGACATCATTTTCTCTTTGGCGTATCATCTAAAATATCTTCATTTTAACATTCTTTTACAGATAAAACACTAAACATACTTTTTAAGTTTGTTTGCCGATTGAGAAACGTATCGAAAAATAAAAATTTGGAATTTAGTCATAACCTCAAATGCTATATTATACGCATTAGTTTTAAGGGTGTGTTACCTCAAATGGTATATTATATACGCATTAGTTTTAAGGGTGTGTTACGTAACATACAAAAAAATCTCCTCTTAATATAGTACAGCATTGAGGATTGTTTTAAACATACATGTGCATGCATGAGCAGCTGATCTTTATTTCATATACAAACTCCAGCCGAAAGCGAGAGTTTGTATATCAGATACAGATCAGATGTCAATGTTTTATCGTACTTAAAAAATGACCCATCTTATGAGTTCATTGGCGAAGTAATTTTCAAATAAACATTGCCTAAGCCAAGAAAATCAAACCTGAAGTTTATGTAAATCAGGACAAATCTTTATCCCATTTACAAACATTAATTAAAATTAAACATTCATTTCTTTTGTATTTTCCTCGTTAATTATTTATTAATTTTTTAATTATACATAATCTTACTTTTTCACACATGGAAATAATTAGCCTTTCTAACGCCGTCATTTTTGGGTGGCTTTTCGGCCGAAGTCTGCAAGATAGTATATGATACGTCCATATAACAGCGACTTTTTATAATTTTTTGGACCAATAATGGTAAACTTGCTTTGTAACTGGTTAGTTTATTTTTTAAAAATTGTTTTTTATACATTGTTTTAATAGCCTGCACAAAGTTAACGAGAACTAGATGCCGCCCAAAAATAGCGGATATTCGTCATCGTGAGAAAGGCTAATTCATTTCCATCTTGTTTTTTTCATTCTTCAAGTTCGCAAAATGTTATTAGAGTCAAAAATTTAAAATTAAGTTCCAAATACCCAATACCCCTTGCCCCAAAAATTATAAGTTCGCAATACTGTAAGCACTGAATACTGTACGCATGCTATATACAGCATTCCCCTCTAGTATGGAGTTTTCAGATAACGATATATAGCTGCAACTGAAAACGCTACAGTACTTTTATAATTTCTCAAAAAATGCTTCATTTTTACTGCTATACAATACGCTTAGATCTTGTAAACAATCACATGGCAGAATTTACTCACCTGGTCAAGTTGCCTGCACTTGTATGGGTTACAGTGCGTTTTACACCAACTATCCACATGGTTTTTAAAGTGAAATTTATCCACAACAATTTCCATGTTTGAGATTCGTTCACTTGTATTCGTCAGGGTTCTCCTCCTCGGGTTTTGCGCATATCGTAGAAGATGGCAGGCATCGTCATAGCATATAGTTTCTAAGCGATGGAAGTATACAGTCTGACTGTCTGCAAGTTGATACATGCACGAACAATTTTTTTTTACTTTTTTTATTCAGACCAATCAGACATAACAGTCATCATGAACTCCACTTACCCACTCCAGACATATTCTCTTTCGCCATAATTTTATTTAAATGTCCGTAAACCTGACTTTTTGATTCGCAGTTAAACATTTCGGCGATGTTAACCACAATACCACATGGCCACTGAAATGTTAGACAACCTATAGGCAGAAACATTACGCAAACAAATAAGTACTGCATTTTGTAACAACACAGTGTAAGCTTACGACCACTTTTATAGACGTTCTTACAATATGGCATAGGTGAAATGGCTTCTGCATTAAATACTAGCTAAAAAGCCTCGTTTCGTTTACGAATACATTTCTTTTTAAATATTTATTCTAATCACATGACCTTAAGGCTTAACCCTTACTTCCAGTACGCATGAAACATGACAAAATGTATAACAAGCCGTTTATACTATACACCATGTAACACTTCTGAGTGTGTATATATACTTTTTTATTTCATTCAAAATACAACATAGCATAAAAAATATGTAAAAATCAGTTCCTTTTTTTCTTCATACAGTAAAAATAATTATAACATAAAGTACAACACTCACCAGCTGTTTTTAAGTTCTTAGCTTTGTGTTTCTCTTTAGAAGTACCACATACTAAATTCCGCTTAGTTTGCCCATCCACGACAACCTCATCTTCTTTATCGTGAACGCCAAACCCAGCACTAAATAGTAAAAATTATACAAGTTTCTAGTTTGTTGCACAGCTACATGCAAACACTTGCTTGTCATAACGACCAAGTCGAACTGAAGGTACCAGAAACTTACGCGCGTATTCTAAAAGCTCACTCACATTCACACTCAACAGCTGGAGTGTTAGTGTCGTACCTTACTATGTGACTACTCACCCTCTATGCAGCTATTCAAAAACAGCATTGACACTCAAGGAAAGGTCAAATTGAACCTTCACTCATTGAGTATCAGCTTTTAGAATACAGGCGTATAGGCCATGCAATTATAATGGGCCGATTATATGCAGACTTTTCAGCCCAGTTGAATTTCAACCCAGTTAGTATAAATCGAGATGAAACTCCGAGATGAAAGACGAGGTCCATGTACTGATGATGACATGAAAAATCCCGGCGATCTGTTATTTTAATTCTTTCAAAAATTTAAAATACCATTCATTACTACTGTCATGCAGTAATATCATTATTATATGCCTATAATATTTGATTATTTCTCCAAGACTTTTGTGCATGACTGTGCATGGTTGCATTAAAAATGGAACACATAAAAAAGCCACATAAACATATATAATTAATTGTTCTTTTACAATCCCAGTTTGTAATTTCTCGTCCATCACATAACGATTTTAAACGGGGTCAACCAACATGAATTTTATGTCCAGGTTGTTAATCTTGTTGAAATTACAGCTCTTATTGAAAATATCCACGAATCGGCGTGCTAAATATATATTTTTTAATGACAATACTGTCCTTATATCCTTACTATATATTCCTAAGAAAATATTCAATACACGTACCTTTCCCTATTAGAACTATACATGTTAGCATTAATATAAGTAAGCATTAACTGTACCTGCCCACTGATCCATTCGTCTCGGTTGATTTGTCACTTTTGACAAGAAAACGCAACTTTCTCCCAAATTGAACCATCTCAATGGCCTTCACAATATTTTTGCATCCCATATTTCTGACTTCTGCTGGCAGATTACTCTCTTTTACCCATGATACTTTCCCATTACACCATTCTACCTAACAAGTACAATATAATGATTTTATACATTGTCAAAATGACGTCTTAAATTAAGTACAACACCTCAAGTAGGGGTGCACTGGATTTGGAATATTCAAATCCGGCCGGAACCGGATTTACCGGATTTGGACAAAAATTCCGGCCGGATTTAAAATAAACCGGTAATGGGGACAATTGTGGATAAATCAGTATTCAAAATGGCGGTTTATGTTTTTTACTATTTTTAGTTAGTGTCAGTTTAGATTTTTGATTGTGTTTAAACCTTATTTAAATATTTTTTGTTAATAACTTAATATTTTATAATAATATAAGTGTTTTTTAAACTTTAAAGCTGCCAAATTGATGGTTTATCCCATTTTTTAAGGTGAAAACAGAAATTTAAATCCGGACGGATTTTCTCCAAATCCGGCCGGATGCCGGAAAATTCGTTAAATCCGGCCGCATTTGAAATCCGGTGCACCCCTAACCTCAAGTCGCTTAGCATTAAATTTCAGTTAACTTTTCTCATGTTAATTCCTTATAATAAGTTTTATTATATTGCATATATTATCGTAATCATATATGTTCTATTAATGAAAAAGCAAACAGATAAGTAATGTACATACGCCATATAATTAGCTTTGCACACGCATATTTCCCAAACCAGTTTTACGTATATTAATTTTATACAAATAGCAGATCACCGGACCGGACACTAGGTCACGCCTGCGAAAGAAATGGAGCAAAAGTCTGGAACTCAGATTCGCAATCGATTTGAACACACGTTTTTTCCCCGTGTTTATCTTGCATCGCCGTTTTTTTCCCTCCCAGGTGTTTATATAAGAGATTCTGGAACCAGGGTAACAATCAAAGTGCCCAGAATTAATATAGAATGTATAACATACAGTTGAGCCTGCGTCTAAAGATTATGGCCTCAGCCCTTAACACCAATCGCCCTTTACCTCACAAAAATTTCCCTGTCTTGTAACTTTGTTGCTCAAAATGCGCTGGATAACCAACTCCTCATCAGTTGTAACTCTGTTTCCTCCTTCACCCTCCATAATTTTTCCTTCATCAATATATGATCGGGCAAGACCTTCATGCATTTCACAATACCTTACACCTTTGCCTGGAGTATTCGGACATCCTGATAACATAAACAATATTCAAGCATTATAAACTATTTAGCAGTTTTTCTCTTATATATTATTAGAAACTGGGACTAAATGGACTCAAAAATCATCCAACAGTAAATATTCACTTAAATAAGTTATTATGCTTTGACGAAAATTTTGAAAAATGTCTAGCATTTACTGTAAAAGAAACAACGTACTTGATCGGTGTATATTTTTCAATACGTCATTAAAAACATGGTTCACAACTGTTATATAGTTCTACTCAAAACTATAAGAGGCGAACTTAACAAATTCTTAATTATTATGCTGCCTAATTTGATTTTACTTACATGGGGGCATTGGGACCAAAGATATCTGTCCCCTTCAGACGAATGTTCACTTAAGAAAGTTTACAGAGTTAAAAAACAATGATAGCAGTCCTATACACAACTTTTTTATCTTCAACTAAATTCCTTATCAGTATTTTTATGCACATTTCCCATTCACACTTACGTACCTATAACGACATTGCCAATACCCTCAAATACTATTTCTCCAACACTGTTGCAACTACAAACTGTCCGTGCATTTTTCATATTTCCGTCTAAAACAATGACATTCCCACAACCTTTAACACTGCATCTGTGTCCTACAAAATAATTAAGAAAACAAACTATATTATCTCCTGTGCTACTATATTCAAATATGAGCCATGAGGTTTGAAAGTGTATCACCGTGTAGATAAGAAACACTTTTATTGTAGCCTGCAGGTAATGATGATTCGGGGCGGTCACAGTTAATTTATCAGCTACAGTATGTACCTGTAGGTAATGTTAAAAAAATGCTAATTCATCAAGTTAAAATACGTACAACGATTGCAAACTTACAGAATTGTCACTATGTAAACAGGAATCCCATCAGTGATGATTACATCATTAAACTCTTACTAACAAAATGTTTCGTTTTACTCAAACCATTGCATGCAAATCAACATGTAGATGAAAAATAACTCAGAAGCACTTAATAATTTAAGGATGAAGGGGTGCCAGTGTAAGAAATTAGGAAAATATGATACCACTGTCTGAAAATAATTAATTATAATTTAAGATATTTTGAAAAAAGGCCCCTTGTCTGGAAATTAGTAGCATGGATAAGGAAATCACATGTGCTTTTCGATTACTTATTCCAAAAATGATCACACGATAACAATAAAGCAATCATATGGATTAGTCAAAACCTATATAGTATAAACAAAACACGTACAGTAAATCACAAAGCTGAATATAATACTAGAAATACATGCATCCATGCACTGCAGCAACCTCATGCCCTATATTTTGAAAACATTGATTTAAAACGAAGTATTACGAACTGGGCAACACTGAATGCAGGCTCGTGTTGTGCGTCAAAACGTAAGTGAACTCGGTTTATTTTACTTTACCTGGGCCCAGTTGTTCAAACCCGAATTACCGCTAACCCTTGGTTCAATTTTAACCTGCTGTTTTAATTTATGTATTTATGCACGTCTATTTATTTCAAAATTTCGAAGAAAAAAACTACCACTGATCCACACAACAATTCTGAAGAAATATCACCAAATTTATAAACAAGCCTTTTACCGTTCGCACGTTAAGGGTGGGCATAGCTCCGGAGAAATCGAATTGATTCATGTTGGATTTCCGGATAATACATTTAGAATAATCAATATCCATACAAATATTACTGTAAGCCAAATAAAATACAACCATTGAAATACTGCATTGAATGTAATAATACTTGCACTACTTGTGACTGAAGGAACAAAGTTTTGAATATTTGAAGTTATTAAAATGCGGTCAGATAGATCGGCATTTGGAAACGTCTTAATGAACATGTATTTAATTAATTTCTTCGTATCGTCGTACAGTAGTCAAATGATAAAGTTAATGCAATATCGTTCTTATTAAACAAAACCAGCATTTTTCAGGAAGTTAATAATATGCAGTAAAATTATTAAATAATTTACAAAATTATAAAGTACAACGTTATACGACTTATGACATTCGGAACATCAACAATATAATTATTCGTACATATCTGGGTATTTTTTGTATGCCTTCGTTAAGCTATCTCTGATATCTCTAGTCAGTATGTCAATATAACGTCTGCAATACGACGACCCCAAAATGTACTACACAGTTTGATGTCAATCCGAATAGGTCCTATAGGTTTGATGTCAAGCAATATATCATAAAGTCATTTACGATACAGGTTTTTGCTGTGATGCTTTGCTATTGGTATTGCTTTTAGTTTCCATTTGTGAATAAACTATAAAGTTCAAAATGCTGTTGTTTACATTTGCTATTTTTAGTAACGTGTCAACGAGTCTAAGCCAATCAGAAGCATGCATTTCTATACGAACGCCACTACCAAGAAAACCTATAGTTCTGTGCAGGCCCTCCTTTCTTTGCGGCGCCCATAACCCAGGAGGGCCTGTTCACAGGCTAGTAACAGCCTACAGTATGTGCTATGTTTGTTCAAATTACAACTGGTGAATAGGTCAATCTTTTCAAACTTACCACTCCATTTTTCCAAAAATTTTTCCAGAAATGTGTCAACCACCTTTTCTACCAACAAATTTCTATCATAATCAATATGATCCACTTCCAAATTATAAGTAAAGTGAGTCTTCAAAACAGCATACAGCAAAAATGCTTCTTCCAATCGACGCCTATCAAGGCATTGTCGTCTTACCAACTTCTCACTAGTTGTGAGTCCTCGACTATACCTACAAACAATTCAGATATAGCAAATATTGCTATTTAGTATTAAATGGATTTTGGAGGCAAAGTGGTAAGCACATTTGCCTTTCACCTCTAAGTATCTCTAAGCTCACAGGTTTCTAGTCTCAGTGAGAACTTTCTCGATGTGACTCAAACCAAGTCCTCATGTGAAAAGAATAAAAGTCAACACTCTGCTGAAAGTTGTGGACCCCCTCCGGGTTCCTCCCACAGGGAAAGTTGACAGGGTGGGTTAGATAAAATGGCCCACAGTAATTGGCATATGTTGTTGTGGTGACCCTGCCCTAGTTGGCAAAGCTAAAAAAATTAAAAAGGGATATTATATATTATATATATATATATATATATATATATATATATATATATATATATATATATATATATATATATATATATATATATATATATATATATATATATATATATATAAATATATATATATATATATCCACAATCGTGAGGCATCAAAGGTAACTATACTTAAGTGTTACTTTCATCCTGCTCATCAGCACTACACTGATGAGGCCCATTAGGCCGAAACGGTACCGTCTGTAGTATATATATATATATATATATATATATATATATATATATATATATATATATATATATATATATATATATATATATATATATATATATATA